GCTTAATGAGTTCTTAAAATTTCCCCCAGTCTTTTAATTTGATTTTTTGTTTTTGGTACTGGAGATTGAACAAAATTTTTTATTTATAAATTATTATTTTGTTTTGTTTTAAGAGACAGGATCTCATGTAGTTCAGGCTGACCTTGAATTTCTGGCCACCCTCTTGCCTCAGCCTCCTGGATGCTAGAATTATAGGCATGTGCCACACGACCAGCTTCAATTTTACCTGTTTGGTTACTAATTACTTCTTAGACTACCACCTTCTATTTAAGACAAATATGATTTCTGGAAAGGAAGCATTTTTCTTTTTTGAATAAAATGCATAATACAAAAGGTTCTGTACAGATCATTTTAGAGTACTTATTCTTAATGAAAATAATTCGTAGTAAGAAGGGAGGATACTGGAAGCATTCATATATGTTAGAGCTCTAACATGTCTAAAGGGGTTTGATTTTTCAGCTCTATGAATATAACAATTGTGGGCCAGGGATTTAGCTCAGTGGTTCTGCTGCCTGCCTCGTAAGCACAAGGTCCTGAGTTCGATCTCTGGTACCCCCCCCCCAAAAATATATATATATACACACACACACACACACAATTGCACTAGTCATAACAATTTTTATTTATATTAGACTTATTTTGATTTCATATATGAAGGCCTGTTTCATTTTTACATAGAATACTTTATATTAGGCAGTTTAAAGTCAAACTCCTTCCTTTAAAATACATTTTTAATTTTTTTTTTTTTTGTCTTTTGAGGCAGGGTCTCACTTTGTAGTTCAGGCTGGCCTTGAACTCACTATGTAGACCAGGCTGGCCTTGAGCTCATGGCGATTCTCCTACCTCAGCCTCCAGAGTGCTGGGATTACAGGCATGTACCGCTGTGCTCAGCCAAAATTTTTTTTTAATTTCTACAAATTATCTTTCTTTGTTGTGGTGCTGGATGGAATACAGAGCCTCATGCATGCTACACAAGTGCTTTATTATTGAGACACATCCTTGGCCCTAAAAGTTATTTTAAAAGTGTATTATCTTTAGAGTTGGGCATGGTGGTACATGCCTACAATCCCAGCACTATGGAGGCTGAGACAGGAGGATTGCCACAAGTTTTAGCCCAGCTTGGGCTACATAGTGAGTTTAAGGCCAGCCTGAACTACATAGTGAAACCCTGTCTCAAAAAAACAAAAACAAAACGAACAAAAGGCTGTTACCTTCATAACTATATACATGTTAAAATTTAATTTCAAGTTACCTATGTGCAGTAGGAAAACAAAAACCCCTACTGATCTTTATTTCTACAACAGACAGTTAAAAAAAAAAAAAGTAAGCATCAGTTTTAAGCATTCATTTTAAAGAATTCGTATAATTCAGCCAGTCTGTAAAGATTAGGTACTTCCAAAATAAAAGAACAGTGTTGCACTTCAACTAATTTTCTGCAAAACAAAACAAGGAGCAGAACTATTCCTTGTAATTTTTCTCTAGACTTTTTTTTTTTTTTTGGTACCAGAGATTGAACTCAGAACCTTGTGCTTCCGAGGCAGGTGGCAGAACCACTGAGCTAAATCCCCAGCCCTATTCCTTGTAATTTTTATGAGCTTTTTCCACCTCAGCACTGGGAATAGAACCCAGGGCCTCGTGCATGCCAGGCAGTGGCTCTACCACTGAATTATACCCCTGGCTATTCCTTGTAATTGTTTTCCCTTTAATTTTTATACTCATTAAAGAAAAATGGACAAAATATTTGGACACAGCCAGGGATTTAGCTCAGTGGCACCATGCCTGCCTTGCAAACTCAAGGACCTGAGTTCAATCCCGGGTGCTGAAAAAAAAGATTTGGTCACATCCCAGATGATATACAAATGTCAATGAACAGTTAAAATCTTGTTATAATTTGCAGTTCTTTGTTTACAACTAAGCATTTTTGTGTATCTTTAATCACTTTTTTGTGATTTATGTCTCTTGTCCATTTGTGTTTTACAGTATTCTTACCACTTGTTAATATTTTGTTTATTTCTGATTATACAAGTAATACATATTGTCTTGAAAATGTTATAATTAACAGTTCTAGCTGATGTTTCCCCTTAATACTCACCACATTGTTCGATCCCTGGTACCAAAAAAATAAAAAAATGATAATCACCACATCACCACCACCATCTTCCCTTGGTGCTGGGGACATAATCCCAGGGCCTGGTTCATGCTATACACACATTCTTATTACCAGTTTGGTACATGGGCCTCTAAATCTGTGTGTCTATCTGTCTGTCTATCTGTGTGTCTTGTCTGTGTGGAACATTTTCATGTGTATATGCAATAAAAATGAATCATACTATGGACCAGGGATTTAGCTCAGTGGCACTGCACCTGCCTGGTAAGCACAAGATCCTGAGTTCAATCCCCGGTACCAAAAAAAAGAATCATACTATTGTTCTATAGGAATTATTTTGTCTGTGTAATTGCTGCATAGTATGCATATATTATAGTTTATTTAACTCTTCCCCTGTGGAAGGATATGTGAGTTGCTCTTGGTTCTTTGAAGTTAGGATCAAAGCTTCAGACAACCTGCTTTTCTCTGTGAAAGTCTTCATCGTGTACCTATTAAGGAGAAAAATTTCCAGGTCACAGGAAGTGAATATACTTTTCTTTTAATGATCATTGCCCAGTTGCTCTCTACAGTAGTCCTTCCAATTTAAACCTCTGCCTGCCATGTATAAGTATCTGTGTTCTCTTCACCCTTATTAATAACTGCTGTTATCAAGCTCCTAAGTTTCTTTCCTGTTCCATAAATTACATCAGTTAGCATTTATCTGATTCCTAGTGAAGTTAAGAATTTTTTCATGTTTTTTGCAGTTATATCTTTCCACTCTTGGTGTGTATTTGTTTGAGACAGGGCCTCACTATGTAGTACAGGCTGACCTCAAACTCACAGCAATCCTCCTGCCTCAGCCTCCCAAATGCTGGGGTTACAGGTGTGCACCTCCACACCTGGGTGTCTTTCCACTCTTGTAAATTCATAGTTCATACCCTCTGCCTACTTTTACTTAGGCTACTTGAATTTTCTTTCATATTGATTTATAGTTCCTTATAAGTCTTGTTCTGCTGTCTTTGTTTATATACATTGTTATTTTCTCTATATGTGAATTTTCTATAAATAATACGTATTTCTTGGCCTTTTTTCTCTTTTTTTCAGTACTATGGATTGAACCAAGGGCCTTGCCATCAAACAGGGTCTAAGTTTCCCAGTCTGGATTTGAATTTGTAACCTTCCTGCCTCAGCCTCTCACAGTGCTGGGATTACAGGCGTGTGCCACCACACTGGCTTCTAAGCCTTTTTTTTTTGAGACAGGGTCTCACTATGTAGTTCAGGCTGGCATTGAACTGACTGTGTAGCCCAGGCTAGCTTCGAACTCACAGTCCTCATGCCTCAGCCTCCCCAGTGCTGAGATTAGAGGCATGCACCACCACACCCAACCCATCTAAGCCACATCTGTTGTATATTTTCCCATCTTTTTTTTTTTTTTTTTTTAACAATTGTTCCTTCTTTTTCTGTCATATTGGCTTTTTTTTTTTCCTTTAAATGTTTGGTACATTCACCAGTGGAGTGTTCTGGGCCTAAAATTTTCTTTCATTGGAAGATACTTAACTATACTTCCAGGTTTTTTTAGTAGTTTATAGAACTATTCATATTTTCCTATTTATTTTTGTGCCTAAGTTCTGTTTTTCTAGGAAACTGTCCATTAATTCATCTGAAGTTTCAAATTTACAAATAAAAAGGTAGTGATGTCCTTTTAATATCTTTTTAATCTTGTATTTGTAGTATAATATTGGTTGTCTTTCTCTTTATTTTTTATTACTCATGCCATAGATACTAGTTTTATTAATTTTCTCAAAGAACCATGTATTAGCTTTCCCACCCCTGGGACAAAATACCTGATGTTCACATCTTAAAGAAAGAAAAGTTTAGTTGGGCTTACAAGTTTAGGGGTTCAGTCCATGGTAAGGTGGCTCCAAGGCAGAAATGGGTTGGTGGAAGGACATGGAGGAAGATAGCTGAAGACAGCTGCTCACCTCATGGTAGCCAGGAAACAGAGAAAGAAGGGAGCTGCGGACCAGAATACACACTTCTACCTGATACCCCCCCAGTGACGCTCCTCTTCCTGCCAGGCTCCCCCTTCTAACAGCATGTTCAGCCAGGAACTCAACCATGGATAATCCACTCATGAATATAGTGCCGCCATGACCCACTCACCTTTCAAAAACCCGATCTCTGAACACATGAAACTTTGGGGGCCAGTCTACATCTAAGTTACAACCAAATTTTGTTTATCCTTCCTGGTAAACATTGATTTCACTTCATTCTTAAAGAATATTTTCATACAAGTATCCTGGCTTGGTAATTATTTTCTTTCAGCCCTTTGAAGAAAGCATTCCATTGGTTTTTTGGTTTTGGTGGTTTTTTTTGGACTGGGGATTGAACTCAGGACCTTGTGCTTGTGAGGCGGGTGCCAGAACCACTGAGCTAAATCCCCGATCCCTAGTCATATATTTTTAAATGCTACTTTTTGTATGTTAAATTATTTGTGGGGGGAGGGTGTTATTGAGACATGGTCTCACTTTATAGTTCAGGCTGGCCTCAAATTCCTGATAATTCTCCTGTTTTAGCCTCCTAAGTGCTGAGATTACAGACGTTCAACTACCACACCTGCCTCTTGTATGTTAAATTCTTTTTTTTTTTTCCTTTTTTTTGGTACCCGGATCAAACTCAGAACCTTGTGCTTGCCAGGCAGGCATGGCACCACTGAGCTGCATTCCTGGCCCCTGTAAATTTTTATCATGGCCCCTCCACCACCACCAGGGATCGAACTCAGGCCCCTGTAAATTCTTATACCAAACAGTAGAGTTTCTTTCCAGAGCAGCTCTTTGCTGCTTATAGCTGCTTCTATCTAAAAGTAGTATGCTTTCACATTTTATTTAATCTCTGTTTCTCACCAATCTTCCAGGGCAGCATCCATGTTTTTCATGTAAGGTACCTGGTAAAGATGTGAAGCGTTGTTCTGTTGGTGCTTGTGGGAAGTTTTATCATGAAGCCTGTGTCCGCAAATTCTCCACTGCCATCTTTGAATCAAAAGGATTCCGCTGTCCCCAGCACTGCTGCTCTGCCTGCTCTATGGAGAAAGATATCTACAAAGCAAGTAAAGGTAACACAGCTAAGGCCACACCGATCTTTTGTTTAAAGTACAGTGGCAAATATTATATGAAGTACATTATTATAAACAATTTTGGATATCTCTCTTCTCTAGGTTTAAAAGTTCAAACTCTAAGAGATAACATGTTAAGTAGGAAATAAATTCCAAATTCAGACCAAGAGAAGAAAATTCCTTAGGCAGGAGCCATATTGAGGGATATGATTGTCTCTCCAGCATTGGAATAAACTTTTCTTTTCTTTTTTTTTTTTTGTACCAATGATCGAACTTGGGTCCTTGCGTTTGCGAGGCAGGCAGTGGAACCACTGAGCTAAATCCCTAGCCCTGAATAAGCTTTTCTTTACACAATCTCTAAATGATTTCTTTTTAAATTTTTTTTTTGGAGACAGGGTCTCACTATGTAGTTCAGGCTGGCCTCAAACTCATAGCAGTGCTTCTGCCTCAGGCTCTGGAGTGCAGGGATTATAGGCATGGGCCACCACACCTAGCCCTCTAAATAATTTTTAGGCTTGTATTTAGGAACTGTATAATATAGGAATGGCAGAGCCAGCCTAGTAAAGAAAGAAGTGTTTGATTATTGCTATAAGTAGTGTCACAGGGCAACCAAGAAAAGCCCAACTCCAAAAGTCTCATATCCAGCCGGTGCCTTATTGTACAAATGCCTTTTTGTCTCCTTTTTAAACAGGACGCATGATGAGATGTTTGAGGTGTCCGGTTGCCTATCACTCTGCAGATGCTTGTATTGCTGCAGGAAGCTTATTTGTGTCCTCCTACATTCTCATCTGTAGCAATCATTCTAAGCGGAGCAGTAATTCTTCTTCTGCTGTAAATGTAGGCTTTTGTTTCGTTTGTGCCAGAGGTGAGTGTCAGTCCTTTCTCTTTATTTCTCTTTCAGTTCTTTGGCAGATTTCTCTATTAATATGAGCTTTAGCATTAGGAGAGAACCCAGGCTTTCTAGTATAATCTCCTATCCAGTGCTGAATTCCTTTTTATTATATTCCTGATAGAAATCACCATTTCTAGCAACTAGTCACTTTTATATTAGACATCCAGATTGTTACAGTAGTAGTTCTTCTATTAGCTAGGCTAAAAGCTGCATTGAAAAATATAACTTAGAATTACAGATAAATTCATTGTTTTTCTATTTGACTAATTTTCTGTTAAAAGATTAATCTGTTCCCTTTTACAAAGTTTCTCTGTTTGAAGTGGATCCTTCCCCTGTTGTTATCATTAATCCAAAATTTTCAACTGATTGAGATTTCACTTGGAAGCCTAGACTAGCACATTTATTTTTTGATTGTTTATGTTGTGTTTCATAATGTTTTGCTCTGGCACTGAAAAGGCCTGATGGGACACAGCCAAGGCAACATATGTGGTGGTTTAGTGAAAAGCCGGCAGTGCAGACTTCTTAGTTGCCAGCAGTTGATACTTAAGTCCACCAAGACATTGATCAGCTGAGAACAATACCACGTCCCTGAGGGCAGTCAGTGAAGCCGAGTGTGTGGTACACATAAAATAGGATGTCTTCAGCTGGCTGTGGTGCAGTGTGTAGCTTTACCTAGGTTGTATGATAATGAAACTTTTTTTTAAAGTAGTATTATAGAGGCCAATTAATATCCCCAAATACTGTTTTGTTTTGTTTTTTGTTGTTGTTTGTCTTTAATATAAGTGCTTAGTTTCCTGAACTTACTTTGTTGTAAAGTATTTGAAAAAATCTAAGGCATAATTACACTTGTATTATAGACTATACTTAAAATATAGGCTTTTTTTCTTGTTTGTTTTTTGCTTCAGGAGACAATTTGGTAAAAATACTATAAAAATGTTTTTAGAATTCAGATAGAATGACAGATCTTAGGTTGTTTTAGCTTTTGTATTCCTCAGTTTTTAACAAACAGCTTAGAGGAGAGAGGTAGTAGAAGATTAAATAAATGGCAGTCTTCTGCTAAGTGGCTGCCACTGAAGTGAGCAGCTGTTTTTCTTTACTAGAGCAGTTACCACTGTATACTGGTCTGAGGCCTGGCTGGTGCATGGAGGATTGTGCATTGTTACAGGTAACAGAAAGGATTCAAATATGCAGATAATAATATAAATAAATAATAAATAGCCATCACTAGTGCCTTCCCATCTTCCCTTTCCAAGGAAAGTAATGATAGGAAAGAATTAGTGAATTATCAACTGAATGTCTAGCTTTAAAGACTTTTAGACAGATGAGTAGCGGTGATAACATAAAGCTTTTTATCATTTTGTAAGCCCTTTCTATTCTTCCATTCCTAGGCACTTCTGCTGACATAAGCACATATAACTTAGCCAATATTTTTGTTTTGTTTTGATTTTTTAAAATAATTTAATGAACATTTTGAACATTAAGTTTATAACTACTGTGTTGGCTTATTTTGGGGGGTATAGTCTAAATTCAGTGCCACTAGTATATTAACCAGTATTTTCTTTTGTTGTATTTCATTCACTAAGTGGGAACTTTTTTAAACAAGTATTTCAATTTAAGAGTAGATAGAAATGGTTCACTAACAGAAACTCTAGTCATTTTGTTAAATTTAACTTATATCCCTTGAATAAAATCTGGGGAGCCAGGGATTTAGCTCAGTGGCATGGTGCCTGCCTTGCATGCACAAGGTCCTGAGTTCGATCCTTGGTGCAAAACAAAAAACTTGAGAAAAGCACAAATAGGGGAATAGCATGTTTTAAATCAGAATCTATATTTACATCTTAGCAATTTGACAATATTTTGAAAGATTTACTGTATTTAAATGCCTATTTAAGGAAGTTTATATAATTCACGAATATTTTAACTGAAATTTCCTGAAATAAACAGAAACTTATTTTCCTTTCTAGCATTTGGTAAAAATTTATTCTAAATATATCAGATGTTGGGATTTGAGAAGGTTTAAATCAAGTCTTTTGAAAGTAAATAATGTGTGTCTTTCTCTAAGTATTGAGATCACCTTTATATGTGGAGGTGGTACTGAAGATTGAATCTAGGAAGTGCTAAGCAACATCCTCAGCCCTTTTTATTTATTTATTTTTTATTTTAAGACAAGATCTCACTATGCCCAGGATGAGAGACCTAACGTTAATCCATAAACAAAAAGAGATACACAAATTATTTATTTTGATATTAGAAAACTTCACTTATTTTGCTTATTCTTTTCTCATACAGAATTTTTTCCTCCTCGTAATGACTTTTCTTCGTTCTTGGTTATTGGGTGTTTAATGTCATTAAGCTACTTCTTAAAGATCAAACTATCTAGAAACAGTTTGAGTTTTTAAAGTTTAGGGACCTCTCTCCCCCCACAGCTAACCTGAGGCACCAATAGGAGAAGGTGAGTCATTTGTCAGTGTAGTTTGTTATGTTTTATCTTTTCCCCCTGTAGTGGGTGATATAAAATAAAGGTTACTTAACATTCTATGCCTTTCTATATAATGGTAATTTAAAATGGGGCCCTACCCATAGTTTAGGATTTTCATTTTAATAGTAATAATAGCAATTTATTTTGCAACTGTAAATCAAACTCTACTGGACACTATTTGAAAGAATTGTCCTAAGAGGTTATGTCCCCATTTTATATGGATGAGCACAACAAAGCCCACATTAAATTATTTATCTGTGACATGAAGGGATCTTCCTTTGTTCGTGATTTTTCTTATTTCAAAGCCTAGGATTTGTTTCTTACATTACACCATGTCCCTCTATAAAATATGCATAATTTATTTCAACATTAGATCACTTTTCTTAGAAGCTTCTTATGTTATTAGCAATTTTAAGTCTCATCTATCATCTGGTTCAGACATTTCTTGACTCTGCTTCAATGGAGAGCAGCATCACATGAAAATAAGCCTGACAGGAGAAAGTAAATGGTAACCCTTTGAAAACAGAACACTTCCCACCTCTCAAAATGATCTCTAAATGAAAGTGCTGGTGTGATTTGTGCTGTAAAGTCTTAGATTGTTATAAACTGGCTAGTCACCAAGTTAGAGAAGTCTCCCCTGGTCTGTAGTCATGGGTCCAGAAGTGAGTTACAGGTGAATTGTGAACTTAACTAAGGAAAAGGGGAGAGCTGGAAAGAAGGGGTCCCCAAGTGTGTCACAGCAGATCTTGTGTTTTCCTCCAAATAGGACAACTGTATCGATAGATCAAAGGGAATATATCTATAAACCTTTAAGTTGGTAATAACTATACTGTGACAGGGAAAAATTTTTTTTTTTTTTTGGCACCGGGGATCAAACTCAGGTCCTTCCACTTGCGAGGCAGGTGGCAGAACCACTGAGCTAAATCCCTGGCCCAGGAAAATTTTTAAATGCTTTATATTATTTCAGTAAAGTTCAGGAAAATATGGCTCTGTTAAGGTCATGTACTGTGTCAATAGAGAAAAGTTTCATTACCTGGCAGAGAAAGCTAGAATTTGAGTATATCTCAGGATAAGAATAGAGAAAAAGAGATTCAGATCTGCCTTGAAGTTGTGTTTTGTATGTGGTAGATAGATTAGGGTCTATGGTATGTAAATGATTCTTATTTCTAAATAATTAAATAACATTTTGTTCGCTGGGTTTTCATCATAGTACTGCTAAATGTTAAGGAATGTAGCTTTGTTTTTCTTAGGGAGTTTCCAATACGATGTGAAATGCCATATACATTTTCAAATTATTTGGAGTTTTCTTCTGCAGCATAGAGGTTTCTGTTAGGGATAAGGAAACAAGAAGTTCACCCTCCCTTTAATAATTATAGAAAGCAGGGGCCGGGGATGTAGCTCAGCAGCACAGCACCTGCCTGGCAAGCACAAGGTCCTGAGTTCAATTTCTGACACCAAAAAATAAAATAAAATAATTATAGAAAGTTTTTCGGTCAGATCTTTCTTTTTTTTCTTATTTGTCCCCATACCCAACTTTAAGGCACAACTGCATTATAGGTGTTGGTTTATTTTTTTTCCTCATGGAATCATGGGTAGTTTCATTGCAGCTCATCTCTTTCTGTTTGTTTTGTATAGGGCTGATAGTTCAGGACCATTCAGACCCCATGTTCAGTTCATATGCCTATAAGTCCCACTACCTACTGAATGAATCAAATCGTGCTGAGTTGATGAAATTACCTATGATTCCTTCTTCGTCAGCTTCCAAAAAGAAATGTGAGAAAGGTAATAATTGAAATAGTTTATCTCTTGCTTTTATTTTTGCATTTCCTATTTTTTTCTCTTTAAGTAAAGGGGGGAAGTGGTGTAAAAGCACCATCTGTTGCTTTTGGTAAATTCTGCCTTGGTGGTTGTGACTGTGTCTTCATATGGTTGCAAAATTATAAAAAGGGCTTAAAATAATTCTATTACAAATTTTTACTTTTCTCCTTGAATAAATTTTCACACATTCCATATATTTAGGTTATTAAAATAGTATAAAAACTAGGATTTTGTGGATTAAAACATATTTTAAGAACTTTTCACTTTTGCCTGAAGTAAAACTATCATTCTTGTTAGAATAAAATAGATATTATATAGTTTATAACCATCAAATAATTCAGGTTATTAAAAGGAAACCTATATATAGTACTTAAAAGTTTGATTTTAGAATATGTTCTATAATTTTGTTTCTTAAATGTTTTAAGATCCTATAAAAACTGGTTGTCCTTACCTTAGGAGACTTTGGTGGGAAAGTGAGGGTGTAGGGAATACCCCAAAGACTGGATGTTGGAAGGCAACCCAGCTGAATTGCTGATGGATAATTTATCTGCGGAGAACTAAGAGCTAAATGTATGTGCATGTATATATATGTAATTTTTTCTGAGTTAATTTTGTCTGTGGAAGAAAGCTTTATCCTGTTTAGCTTTCCATAGCTTATTTGTAATAAAGGGAAAAAGTGACTCAACAATAATATATTATTTTGGGAGTTATTCCAGAGGGAAAATTCAGTGAGCATGGAAGGTAAGGCCTTTTTCTGTATATGTTCCCATTGCAATCTTGGGGCCAGGTTCAGAATCTGTAAGGAAAAATTCATTCATAGTATACCATGTATGTATACTAGGTATATTTGAATTTTTTTCATTCTCTGTGTTGCCTATTTGGTGCATCTTTGCTCTTTGTCAGATATCTGAAATGGCAACTTGTAACTCAAAGAAAGTGTAAGCAAGTTGATTAGAACCCATTAGAAACACTGGAAAAAAATTTTTGTGTTTCCCTTGAAATCAAATTTTATTACCTTATTCATGATGCCGCCTGCTTCCAAAATAAAAAAGGACATAGGTCTGACTTATTCCATAAGGCAGTAAAATTAGTCTATCTGAGGCATTTTAGGAAATGCTTTATTTTCCTGCTGCCATCTTTATAAAATCAGATTAATTAGGGGCCAGGGATTTAGCTCAGTGGTGCCGCCACCTGCCTCACAAACACAAGGTCCCGAGTTCGATCCCCGGTACCAAAAAAAAATCAGATTAAGTTGTTGCTTTGTTTTCAGACTCAATATTAACCTTGACATGAATTGAAATTGTTTTGAGCCCTCCACCTAGCTTGAACTATATGTTCTCTTACATCCTAAAACAGTTTTCTTGCATAGCACCAAGGCGAATCATTCATATTTTAATTTTTCTATACCCCTGTGTATTTTTAACATATTTATCATGATAATTTTCACAGATGATTCTGGCTCTGTATTGCTTCTGAAACAAGACTTAAAATTTAGAACCATTTAATATTAAAAATGACAGACCTGACTTTTCCACATCAGTGTTTATAATCACATCTTCTCTAAAACTGTTCGCAAAGACTTTCTCCCTTTGGTCATTCCTTTCCAATGAAAAAATGAATAATCTCATTTTACTTTAAATTTACAAAAGAATTCCCTACCTAGGCTTAGAGCATTCAGGCAGCTAATCTTGGGGCTGGAGAATTGAACCTATTAAATCCATATTTTGGTATCTGCAGTCAAAGGAAAAAATGCTGGTGATTGAAGTAAAAGCTTTTAAGCAGAGGAAATATAGTAATTTAATTCATCTCTGGCTGTGTATGGATTTTTCTTTTTTTGTTTTCATGTTAGAAGTTTGAAAGTCTACAGGAAAATAAGATTTTCTAGAAAATTGATAGCAAACCCTCCGAAGGTTAGAGCATGAAATTTGATCAAGTTGTATAGAGGGCTCTTAATCTTTGCTTATGAGACTTTAAATCTTAGTATACTTGTGGGTTTGTAGACCTAGTTTTCCAATAGAAAGATGAATTATTTTGCAATAAATGTCTTTATTATATTCATCTTGAGATGAACCTTATTGAAACATATTAGATATATCTAATCTTCCCAGCCCCCCCCAAAAAAACTCTGATTTCTTTACAGTTAAAAATATTATTTTGTTTACTACACTTGTTTTGGGATTAATTACAAGATTATTTTGTATATTTAAAAGGAGAGGGCTTAGATAGGGAACTTGGACAGATACCCTTGCGTATGGTACACTTCACTGTACAATGATAATTATTTACTTTTGTGCTATAAAGCAGTGGTTCTTGATATTAAATCAAAAGATAAGTTCAAAATTGTTGAATTATTTTGGAAGATCTAACAGAATCACACATTTGTGCAAAAGGAGTTTCTTTATATTACACTGATTTTAATGATATAGTAATTGTTTTGTTGTCAGATCAGTATCTTTGATTGACAGGGGTTTTTTTGGCTAACAAATAGGAGGGGGGTTGATACAGTGTTTGACAACATGTGGGCTCATCAGAAATGGAACAGGAGCCTTGGTGAGGAAAAGTTGCAAACCACTGTTTTATAGCCTGTGTGACTGTCTTTTCTTTCACAGATTCTTCTCAAGAATCTGTGTTCCTTTTGCTTTTTTGTATTCTTTTGTAGGGAGAAAAAAAGTACCGATCAATCTATTGGCTGTTTTCATTCTTGCTAATTTTATTGTAAAGGGATTTACTCTGCCACTGGATTCAAATACAAAGATGACTATTGCTTTCTTTCTTACCTCTAAATAAGAAAAGAAAATTGCTATTTACTTCCTTGAAAAACCTGCTTGCTCATCTACTCATTGTAAAGATTTTGTGATCCATCTTGTCATGTGTTAACAGTTTTTAAAGCTGCTTGCTAAACTGATACAGTAGCCCACATTTTACCACTCAAAAGCTGTAAGTTTATAGCCACCAAAGTCCCAAAATATAACTATTTCACTTGTTTTCTATTTTAATCCATCACTATAGATATGATGTAGTTCCTTTATTGAGTTCTCCCAATTTGAGTTGAATTTAGTGCACTTTTAAGTAGAACTTTCTCTTTCTTGTTCTGTGTCCTCTTTTCTCAGTTACTAAGACTGTTTGTTTGTTTCAAGGTGGAAGATTGCTCTGCTGTGAGTCGTGCCCAGCTTCCTTCCACCCGGAATGCCTGAACATAGATACTCCAGAAGGCCGCTGGAACTGTAATGACTGTAAAGCTGGCAAGAAACTTCATTACAAGCAGATTGTTTGGGTCAAACTGGGAAATTACAGGCAAGTTTTCCAAGGACAATGAGGAAGTATTCAGTTGTTGCACAGACCAGGCCTAAAGTCAGAGCTTCAAGGTTCTGCCTCTGTACAAGAGAAAGAACGGATTTCCGTCTGGGTTTTAGCAATTGGGAAGGTTATGTCCTTATTGGATATTTTCTTTTTCTTTGGGATTGGTTGGTTAACTGTTAATTTTAGGTTCTGAAAGGCATTTTATACTACTGATCTAAGTAATAGATTTTGGAATAAAAGGTTTTGAGGGGACAGTAGAGAGAATAGTTTCTTTGTGTCTTAGATTTATATTGGTTTCTGACTTCTGATAGGATCAAGAGTTTATATTCCTACTGAAAGTAGCTCTTTGTCCCTGAATCAGGCCCATTTTGTTCTGGCTAGAAGCCCCAAATGGTATGTAAAGGAAGAGACTTTTTATAATTTAGAGAAGTTACTACAAAAAGTCATTAGTTACTAAGAGAATGAAGTAGAAGTGTGTATGATTGCCATTATTTTAATGAACATTTTCCTTTAGGGCTTTTACTGAGGCTCTATGAAACAATATATACATACATTTTCAATTTTAATAAATTTTTTTTATTCCATTCCCCCCTCCCCTTGCACCTCCCTCCCCTATGTACAAAAGCTTTGTTTGCACTTTTTCCTTTTATTTTCACTTCTTTCTTGTCCCTTTTTCCCTTTCTCTCCCCTCCTCCTTTGTTCCCCCTTCCCATTTGAACATTTTCTTCACATTTCCTATTTCCCGGTATCTGTTATACATTTTAGTCCTTATTTCCACTTTTGGTTTCTCACACCAGAGAAACAATGTGGTATTTAAACATGTGTGTCCAACTTATTTCACTCAAGAATATCTCAAAAGTCCATCCTTTTAGCTATAAATGTCTGGAGCTCATCCTTTTTTATGGCCGAGTAGTACTCCATTATATAAAAAAACCACATCTTTATCAACTCGTCGATTGATGGTCATTTGGGCCAGAGCAATTTTTTTTTAAATGAATTTTATTTTATTTTACCCCTTCTAGAGCAATATATTTTTAAAACTCCACATTTTGAGATGTATGTTTGTAATTTTCTAAGAAAATAGATACTGGTCAGGACAGCACCATAAAGTTTATCTGCCTTTCAATTAGAATCCTAAGCAAAATATATAGGGAACAGGGAAAGAGGGGATGTTACCATAACCTCTGTAGTAAGTCCTAGTCTCCTGCGAGCCATGGCAGTACACGGCAAATTACAGGAAAGGTAGGAAAATGAGACGGAGAAGAAGCTGAGCTTAGTGTCTGATCATTGCTGCTCTGGGCGGCAAAGACAAAAGCCCCCCCCGCTTACCGTAGCACCTTTTATTCAGTACATCGGGAGAAACAAAGTGTAACAAATGACTTGCAGAGAGTTCAGTACATCCTGCGTAAATAAGATGTAACAATCCAAGAACAAGGAGGAACTGAGTAGATGTTTGTTCCTCCCAGGATGTTTTCAGCTCCCAGGATGTTTCTTGTCCTGGAGAATCACAGACGGCATCACCGGATCATTGAGGTCTCAGTTGTGACTGGAGGCCAAAATGCAATTATGTCTCGGAATTCCATAGCTGGGCTGTAGGCAGGAGAACTAGGCTAACCAAATGATTTTTTCCTAAAATTACGTAGCATTGCTCCCGACAAAAATATATTACACACTTTCAACCATATTGAAGTTTTTTGTTTTTTGTTGAAAGAACTATGTTGTCTTCTCTGTCTTATGCTGCTTATTTTACTTATGTAATATAAAAACTTCATTTTTAGCTGGGACCAGGGCATTAACTTTTTTTCAGATCATTTTCTTTATTAGTACATAATATTTACATTCCTTGTGGGGAGTTGGTTCGTGTGTGTGTGTGTGTGTGTGTGTGTGTGTGTATAAGACATCATGATAGCTGGGTGTGGTGGCACACCCCTATAATCCCAGCACTCAGGAGGCTGAAGCAGGAGGATCACTTTGAGTCCTAGGCCAGCCTTGACTACATAGTGAGTTCAGAGTCAGCCTAAACTACAAACTGAGACCCTGCCTCAAAAAAAAAAAAAAAAAGACATAGTGATTCGATCTCTTGATCTCCCCCCCCCCCTTGGTACATTTTCTAACGCTGACTTTTAAAAAAACAACATTCCATCCCTGGTACCAAAAAAAAACCATGGCAAGAAACCTCTTAGTCTTAATAAATTGATAGTTTGAATACATGAATAATTTTCTATTCTATGGCAAAAGGTATCACAGTTTCAAAGGGCACTATCAAACTGAAAAGTATTTCCTCCTCTGTTTAGTAAGAAAAGACAGATACTTTACTAGAAAGAAAGAAAAAAAGAATAGAAGTAGAAAATAATCATAAAAATATTCTCAGCCTTACTAAAAATAAAGGCACAGTAAAATTTTGTTTTCAATTAAAAGATTGGCAAATATTTAAAAGTGATAACTTTGTGCCAGTGAGGCCATGGAGAAAAGATTCCTTCTTGGAGGGTAGCCTGGTATCATGTCAGAACTGTGACTGCAGCACTTTACTTCGTGGGATTTATCTAAAGAGAAAAGTGAACCTAGGCATTGTAGCATATTCTTGTCAGCCCCAGCATGAGGCTGAGGCACAAGGATTGTGTTTGAGGCCACACTGGGCTGCACAGTGAGACTGCCCTCCCCCAAAAAAGGTAGACAAAAATTAACAGCATGTTTACTGCAATATTATTTCTAAATGCAACAATTTGAAATAACCTAAATGCTTAGTTAATAGAGGCTTTGTCAAATAAATTATAATGCATCTATATTGTAGACTATCATAAACCCCACGGAAGGGTAATTCAGGTATGTCCAGTACCATAGGAAGATATCTATGGAATACAGTTGAGTTTAAAAGGCGTATTAAACACACGTAGTATATTTCCACATTTTGTTTGGTTTGGTTTTTTGTTTTTGAGCTAGAGTCTCACTATAAAGCCAGGTTGGTCTCAAACTTTTGGGCTCAGCTGATCCTCTTGTCTCAGCCTCTTGAGGAATTTGGAATACAGACACACCCAGCTGCATTTGGCCTTGTTTATAAAATTTTTTTTAAGTGTAGATCTGGATATGATGCATTTTAAATAACTGGAAAGAAATATGTTTAATGTTAACAGTCTCAGTGATGAAATTACATTTTTTTTTTTTTGGTACCAGGGATCGAACTCGGGTCCTTGCGCTTGCGAGGCAGGCAGTGGAACCACTGAGCTAAATCCCCGGCCCGAGTGATGAAATTACAAGGAGAGGCATTTTTACTTTTCTATGTTTCTGCATTTGAGTTTTTAAATATTTTTTTAATTGTGTGTAATAACTACAAATTGGGGGGTACAGTGTGTTTTGGGGAGTGTACTGGTGATTGAACTCAGGACCTTGTGCTTGCCAGGCAGGTGTGGCACCACTGAGCTACATCCCTGGCCCCAGTGTGATATTTTGATATGCTTTAACTTTTTTTTTCCTTTTTTTTTTTTGGTACTGGGGATCGAACTCGGGACCTTGCTCTTTCGAGGCAGGTAGCAGAACCACTCAGCTAAATCACCGGCCCCAGTGTGCTTTAACTTTCAAAAGAAACCCAGTCTATTTTCATAATTTTTCTTTCTTTCTTTCTGTCTGTCTGTCTTTCTTCTGGAGTGGGGAAGGGTACACAGTTAAAAAATAGAAAGACATTCCTGAGCCAGCTGCAGTGGCATATACCTGTAATCTGAGCTACTCTGGAGGCTGAGGCAGGAGGATTACAAGTTCAAGGCCAGGGCTGGGGATTTATCTCAGTGGTTTGATGCCTGCTGCGCAAGTGCAAGGACCCGAGTTCCATCCACAAGTTCAAGGCCAGACTGGTCAAGTTAGCAACACTCTCTCAAAAAAAAAAAAAAAAAAAAAAGTTGCGGATGTGGCTCAGTGCAAAAACTCTGGGTTCAATACCCAGCATTGGGAAAGGGGATTCTTGGATAAGAAATAACTAAAACAGTGTAAGAAACCTTCAGATCTTTCAGTAAATTTCAAAGTATTTTTTATAGTTAGGAATATGAAAATGTCCTTTTACTTGATTTACTTTTTCTTTTTTTGGTACTGGGGATTGAACTTGGGACCTTGTGTTTGCAAGGCAGGCAGTGGAACCACTGAGCTAAATCCTCGGCCCTTAATTTACTTTTTATACTTAAATCTTAATCACACTACATTTAAGGAAGCCCAAAGCTGTGTTCATTTCATAACTCAGTGAGATTTTCTATCTAGTTCAGATATGTCATGTATGTTTTGGAAGGACTTCTGACCATGAACTGGTTCTGAATGGATTTCTTTCTAGTCAGGCCCAGTTCGGGGGGCTCTGTGCAGCTGTTTGTTTTCAATAAGTAGGGAAGTACTTACAGGAACAACCCTCACAGAAAGTGTCCCTTCCTGACTGACCCTAGGACACTGCAGTCTTGTTCATGCTTAGTTATACTAAAATGGGTTTTTCTTTTTTGGGGATTTTTTTTGGCAATACCAGGGATCAAACTCAGGACCTTGTGCTTGCAAGGCAGGCATGGTGCCAGTGAGCTAAATCCCCAGCCCTTTCCTAAAATGGTTTTGAAACAAGTATAGAGTAACTATTTCCTAGCTGCTTTGAAGATAAACCAAGATAATGATCACATAAAATAGTGGTTTTTGTTTCTGCAATTTGAGCATGAATTCTTACCCATGGTATTCTTAGATGGACAGCAGGGCACCTTTTAGATGACACATATTCACTTTCTACCACATAAATCTGGGAATGCAACCATGTCATTTATCTTCTAAATGGTACAGTGACTGGTTAAAGAAATAGACTTAGGGAAGGGGAAAAACGAGAATTGAAATGTGTTATGTACGTGTACCAGTTCCCTACAATGAATGCAGCCATTATATAATGCAAACATACACTAATACAAGTTTAAAGAGAGAAAAGTGGTCTTATTAGACATATGTAAAATAAGAGGTTGAAAAAATTCAAGTTTATGTGTTTTTACTCTTCATATTAATGATTTTATATACAGCAAAAGCCCATGTGAGGATCACTGAGGTCAGCCTTGTTTTTTGACCTTTGAAAAGCTTCATTAGGACTGGGGATTTAGCTCAGTGGCACTGCGCCTGCCTTACAAGTGCAAGGTCCTGAGTTAGATCCCTGGTAGCCCCCCCCCGCCCCCCCCGCAAAAAACTTAACTATTCTGTTCCTGGATTGTCTAATTTCTGGAAACTGTCAAATATTCCTTACAGATTGTTTCATTTACTGATTGCTTTTAGTATTCAGTTACCATAGGGTGAAATGGTTATGTTTTCACTCTGCCTTTATCCCATGCTTATGATCTAAGACAAATTAGATTCTAAAATCAACTGATGTAAAATCTAATACATTTGACCAATTTGTTTTGTTAATTAGAGATTCAGAAAATGCTGATTTGCAAGGGAAATGTCATTCTTTACTGTGGCAGTAATGTATTCTCAAAATGATTCCCTTGATTGTTAAAAATGACTCTTATGCTTTCAAAGATAATCTTTTATACCTTCAAAGGTATTAAGTATGCCCATTCTAGGAGAAAAACATGATTTTTCTAGGATAAAAATTGGTTTGGAATAGTACTGGTAACATTCCACTTCTTATTATGTAGTGGGTTCAGTGCTACTGAGTTATTATGCTGTATAACATATTTGCATGATATATATTTTATAAATGTCAAATATTTTTTAAAGAAATAAACTAGATCAGATGTTCATGGCCTGCTTTGTTTAGTCTGTTGCTTATTATTAATTATTGATAAATTAATGCCAGGCATGGTGGCACATGCCTATAATCCCAACACTTGGAAGGCTGAGGCAGGAGAATCACTGTGAGTTTGAAGCCTGCTTGAGCTACATAGTGAGGTCAAAACCAGCCTGAGCTACATACCAAGCCCTGTCTCACAAAACAATTAATACGTTATTAGTTAATAATATGTTTTCAAATGATGTGTGATTTGGATGAATTAAAGATAAAATATTTTATATTCTTAGAATATGAATGAAAATTGCAAACTACAAGACTCCTTTTTTTCTCTCTTTCTCCTGGCCTTCTTATAAAAAAATACCATTAGGGCTGGGGATTTAGCTCAGTGGTTCCACTGCCTGCCACCTGCCTCACAGGCACAAAGACCCGAGTTTGATCCCCGGTACCAAAAAAAAAAAAAAAGCATGACTTTCCATTTTCTTAGTCTAAAATTGAATTTGTTTTCAGATGGTGGCCTGCAGAGATCTGCAATCCCAGGTCTGTACCCCTGAACATCCAGGGCCTTAAACATGACTTAGGAGACTTCCCTGTATTCTTCTTTGGTTCTCATGACTACTATTGGGTGCACCAAGGCAGAGTGTTCCCGTATGTTGAAGGAGACAAAAGCTTTGCTGAGGGGCAGACTAGTATTAACAAGACCTTCAAGAAAGGTAAGTGACTCTGGGTTTCTCAGCATCTCCTCACTTGCATGTGGCTTTTTTGGTATTAGAGAATTTTTAGAATTTTCACGGACATCATGTTCCTGCGTCCATAAGTCTCCAATCACATTAGAACCAAGTTTGAAATGCATTTCAGTGTAATAGACAATGCTGCATATGTGAACGGGGTTTCTTTACCAGCCTTAAAGATTATGCTGGGAATTTTCTTTTTTTTTCCCCCAGTACTGAGGTTTTAACCCAGACCTTTTGCACTGTGCTATATCCCTTCCCCCTTCTTTTGAGGGTGACAGGGTCTTCTAAATGGCTAAGATCCCCGGGCTGGGCTCATACATGTTATACTCCTAACTCAGCCTCCCAGAATGCTGCTGGGATTACAGTGTGCACACTACACCTGGTTAAGGGAATAATCTTAGGGAAGCTCCTTCACCACAGAAGGGTAGCAAAAACCTTACAGCAACTTTTACAGTGTGTTGCTAGGAAGTGTGGCTTGCTGGATGAGGGTAAAATGAATTTAAACCTAGTACAAGGTCAACAGCCAGGGGTCTCTGTCATGAAAGTGGGTTCTCTGCTCTTGAGTCAGCGGTGTGTATAGAGCCCAGCATTCCTGAGTTATATCCTAGTCTTTAGGCCTACACTGGTGCCAAATGGTAAACTACAGAATAGAATTTGAAAAAGCATATCTTGGGTTAAATAAATACAGGGCATTGGAAAGGTGGTACGAACCTATCTGATCAGTATGGTGTTTTTTTTAAATTTTTATAATTACATACTTTGTTTGATTTTATTGTCAGCACTGGAAGAAGCTGCAAAACGTTTCCAAGAACTGAAAGCACAAAGAGAAAGTAAAGAAGCATTAGAGGTTGAAAAAAACTCAAGAAAACCTCCTCCTTACAAACACATCAAAGTGAGTCTACTCATAAAAACACCAATATTTGATAGGAAAGATGAAATGCATTACTTTCTCAGTAGATAAAGGCTCTCTTTGACTTGTGGAAACTTCTGCTAATTATCAGCCTGTCTTCTGTGAAACCAACTGATTGTTGGAAGCATCAAATGGAGCCCTAGCTCCAGGGCTCTGAGATCTCTTAGAAACCCCCTCATTCCTACGAGCAACATGGCTTATGTGAAATCCGGTTCTCATTCTACCAGGTTATCCGGCAACCAAATGAAAATACAGGTATTTAGTCCCTTTATTGCAGAGTGCCCACAGACAAGCATATATATTTTCAGTTAGGAAATTTCTGTCAAACAGTGGAAAGAGAAATACACTGAGTAAGTGTGTCAAAGCATACATCAGGTTTGAATATTTAAGGAGAGATAGTTACTAGCTTATTTCTAGGGAAATTAACCACACAACATTAGCTGAGGCTGAAATAGCCTGGGTGTTTATGGTGTTCCTATTCAAATTGCTAACAGTGCACTTACCTTCTACCTCCTTCTCATTTGTGATTTCGTTTTGTAGGCTAACAAAGTAATAGGGAAGGTTCAGATCCACGTTGCTGATCTGTCAGAGATCCCCCGCTGTAACTGCAAGCCTGCTGATGAGAACCCTTGTGGCTTGGAATCAGAGTGTCTGAACAGAATGTTGCAATACGAGTGTCACCCGCAGGTGTGCCCAGCTGGAGACCGTTGTCAGAACCAGTGCTTTACAAAGAGGCTCTATCCAGATGCAGAGATCATCAAAACAGAGAGGAGAGGCTGGGGCCTCAGGACCAAAAGGAGCATCAAGAAGGTAGCATGGAATGGAGAGAGGCAGAGGTCTGAGTGGAACAGACCAGGACCTGTGTTGCTTAGGGGTACTTTAATAGAATATGATCCTAGGAATAAAATTTATTGGGATTGTCCGGGTGTGATGGCACAAGCCTGTGAGCCCAGCATTCAGGAGGCTGAGGAAGGAGGATCACCACGAGTTTGAGACCCGCCTGGGCTACATAATGAGTTCAAGCCCAACCTGAGCTACGTAGCAAGGCTCTCTCACAAAGAACCAAAAACCAAAACAACAATGAAAGTGGTAGGAATAAGATAAAATAAAATGTACATAAACTTTTAAGTCTTATTCATAAAAAGGAGTTGTACTTTTCTACTTGAAATATTTTTAAACTTGTTGAACAACCTAATGTAAAATTCTCAATAAAGGCATTACCGGAAAACCAAGAATGTACTGGAATGGAAACTCTGGACTTTAAGCTAACATCTTAATTCATTAGCCATAAAGATATTGCCAAGTTTCTTAATTTCCTTCAGCCTCAGTTCCTCATCTCTGAAATGGACATAATGGCAATCCCTGCCCTACATAGTTGGAGGTCATTTCAATCTCAGAATTAAATTATTTATGCAAAAGCAATCGGAAAAAGTGGAGATCTTTAACATATATATATATATATTTCTTCTTTTTTGAGTAGAAAAGGCTTATTGGGGAATAGGAATAGCTCCTGAGAGACAGGAAGGGTCCCAAGTGGGTTGCCTTATATTTTCATTTTTATACTTTAAGACAGTTTTTCAAAGCAGTCTCTTTACTTAACATAAAAAAATTATGCCTATTGTAGAAAAAAATTTAAATGCAGGTAACTCAAAGGAAAATTAATATCACCAATAAATTCTGTTCAAAGAGTGGCTCTCAAATTTTAGAGTTCCCAGGAACCCTCTGAGATCCTTGTTAAAAACGGTGTCTTGCTAAATTAGATCTGGCACAGGCCTAGAATAATCTGCATTTTAAAACAAGTCCCCCATCCCAGTTCCACTCTCACCCCTCTTTGCCTCGTGCCTCTGCTACACAGAACTCAGAAGTGTATTCACTGAGAGACATAGACCTAGTGGGAATTTAAAATTACTCTTTTATTTTTTTTTTGGTACCAGGGATCAAACTCAGGTCCTGGTGCTTGCAAGGCAGGCGGCGGAACCACTGAGCTAAATCCCCGGCCCTAAAATTACTCTTGACATTTTTCTGCCTTTGTAAAAATTACCTTTGTAATTTAAAAATACCTTCTAGGGTAGTAAAGTCAGTACCAGAAAGATAATCAATAAAAATTGCTCCTTCATCCCTATAATTCCTGGTCTCCTCCCCAGAGAGAACTGTTGTTAATAGTTTGGTCTGAGCCTTTTAGACCTTTTCCTGTGCAGTGATAAACGTAAATACATAAACCAACTCCCCATGAGGAAAGTGATCATTATGTACTACAAATATCAAGTAATAAAAATTTTTTAAAAGTAAACACGTATATTCTATATTTGTAAGGTTTTCTCAACATAAGTATGATCATATTATTTTTCCATTTAAACAAAATATATACATTTCTGATATAGATCTTACTTTATTCTTATTCTTTTTTGTTTTGTGTTGGTTTTTTGTTGTTTGGTTTTTTGAGACAGGGTCTTGCTATACAGTTCAGTTTGGTCTTGAACTCACTATTGTAGCCCAGGCTGGCCTCAAACTCAAAGCAATCCTCCTGCCTCAGCCTGAGTGCTGAGATTATAGGTGTGTGCCACCACACCTGGCCTTCACCTCATTGCTTTTAATACCCTTATTGTAGTCTATAGTAAAATGTACTGTGATTTATTTAACCAATTCCTAGATAGATTTATTCTATGATGAACATTGTTGGTCATCTATTTTTGTGTACCTTCTTTTGTAAGTTAGACCATTTGAAGTGAATTTCATCTAGGCACTTTGAAAATATTAGTAAATAAGTCCCAAAGCCCTTCCCTTTGTAGGTCTGCTAGAGGAGATTGAGAGTAAACTGAAATTTGTTAAATACCACTGAATGCTGGCAAGAAAAATTGGTCAAAGGAGACAGCTGGTGACAGGGATTGTTATTTTAGATTGCTGGGTTTAGGACAGCCCGAGGAGGCAACATTTGACCTGAATGTGTAAAGTTAAAAGCCGTGCAGATAGCCACAGAAGAGCATTTCAAACCCAAGGGAAACAAAAGCCTGGCCCAAGGCTCAGGGGCAGCAGGCAAGCTCCTGGTCTGGGAAGAGGGCGGCTCAGAGATGAGCTAGGCTTGTGGAACCTGTTGGCCATGAGAGGGGAAACTTTCCTAGGATTTTAGTAGGGATTGACTTGGTCTGGTGTGATGTATGAGTTTTCTTTCATGTATGGAGGTACTGCAGGAGGGGGGAATCAGACTCAGGGGCACTTTACCACTGAGCTACATTCCTAACCCTTTTAGTTTTTTGAGATAAGGTTCAAGTTTCTCAGGTTGGCCTTGAACTTGTGATCCTCCTGCCTCAGCCTCCCAAGTAACTGGGGTTGCAGGCATGTGCCACCATGCCCTAAGGTGTAATAGTTTTCTGTTGCTGTGTAACAATATTCCCACAAAGTTAGCAATTTAAAATGTAACGGTTTATTTGGGCAAGAGTCCAGGTAATGCTTAACTGGGTCCTCTCCCTAGAATCTCACAGGGTTGAGGTTGAGATTTCCCGCAGGGCTGATGGAAGGCTTATGGCTCAGCTAGAGACAGATCCACTTCCTGTTTGCATGGTTGTTGGCAGAATTATTCCATGTAGCTGTAGGTCTGATTGCCTCAAGGTATTTCTTTGTGCAGTTTTGGGGGCTGGTTCTTGCCATTGGCTTGACACTGCTCTCCTCCTCTGGAGCTGCCCATAGTTCCTTGCCACCTAAGGTTCCCTACTAGGTCTGTGTTTCCAGTCACAAGTTAAAGGCCTGGAGCTCACTGCAAAGTCCACCCTGAGTCCCTATCAGAAAGCCAAAGAGTCTGCACTGGAAGCCTGGAGATGATGTCTAGAGGTGACAGCGAAGACTGGAGCTCTTCCAAAGAAGCAGAAGCGAGCCTTCCTTCTTTCCCTTTTTATGCCATCGAGGCTATAAGCCTGTTTGTTGGTTGGTGCCACTCACATCTGGTGTGGGTCTTCCCTCTGCAGTAAGTCCATCATCCAGACACACCCAGAACTGTGCTAAACTAATCCACTAGGCAGTTTGTTTGTTTTTTTTTCCAGGAATTGAACTGGGGTCCTGCTTGCGAGGCAGGCAGTGGAACCACTGAGCTAAATCCCTGGCCCCACTTGGCATTTTTTATTCAAATTGACACCACAACCTATTGCACCTGCCACCAACCTTGCCATATTCTGTTGGGTAGAAGCAAATCATAGGTCCTGCACACTCGGAGTTAGGGGTTGTACGATAGCAGGAGCACCAGAAGACAGGGGTCCTGCGGTCTCCTTGAGAGTCTGTCTGCCACACTTGGGTTTTATAGGATAACTGGCTGGAGTATGCAGGAGTGTGAAGGAGAGTGATAAAAAGATCAGTGGCCAGGGATTTAGTTCAGTGGCACTGTGCCTGCCTTGCAGGCACAAGGTCCTGAGTTTGATCCCTGGTACTGGGGAAAAAAACAAGAAGACCAGTGGAGAGAGGGGATTTGGTATGCGACCACTAGGGTTGTAGGCAAACAGGGAGAAGTGATTGGGTTTTGACATGTTGAAGGTGGAACCAGTAGGATTTGCAGGTGCACTGGATATGTGGATTAGGTTGCTTTGTTAGAGGCCACGCACATGTAAAATGTTGTTATATAATGCAAAAAAAGTTATATTACTTTAATGTCATGCATATCACACATAAATATATTTTGAAGAGTTTATGGCATCCTGAAATCCATCCAGCTTCATACTGTCATTGTTTTTTAATAGTAGTTGCATTTATTCTAAAATGTATTCTAAAATAAGTAATATAATCAAGACAAAAAATACAACCTGGATTTTTCTGTCTTTTTAGCACTTCAGGGATTGTTAATGAAGACAGTTGTTCTTTTTTTTCAGTACTGGGGATCGAACTTGGGACCTTGCGCTTGCAAGGCAGATGGTGGAACCACTAAGCGAAATCCCCAGCCCTGACAGTTGTTCTTTGACAAAATAGCTAGAATTATTCAGTCATTGAAAAGCATAGTCAGGGCTAGGGATTTAGCTCAGTGGCACCTTGCCTGCCTCTCAAGTGCAAGGTCCTAAATTCGACCCCAGTACAAAAAAAAAAAAAAAAGAAAAGCATAATCAGAAAGACTTTGTAGCAAGGTGAAAGCATTTTTTGATACATTTACCATAAAGAGGCCAAATATGAGCTGAGTACAGAAGCACATGTCTGTAGTCCTTTATTTAAAAATTAATTTTATTGGTACATTTTAGGTATACAATATAATGACATTCATCATTGGAAATTTGTACCTTTACATAATCTCTCTTGGTTTTATTTTTTCCCCATTCCCCTGCCTTCCCTTCAACTCCTCTGTAATGCTGATTACTTGGGAGACTGAGGCAGGAAGAATGCAAGTGTGAGGATAGCATGAGAAACCTAGTGAGACCCTGTCTCAAAAATAAGTAGCAGGGCATCCTGGGTTTAATCCCCACAAGTATGAAATCGAATGTCCACAGTCCTCTTCTTTTCACATGTAACAGATTTCCAGAAATGTGTGTGAGAATCAAACAAGGGACTGACTTCTTGTTATGAAATGATTTCTTTTTAAAAGTTTCTTTTGGGGTGCTGGGGGTTGAACCTAGGGCCTTTCATGTGCTAAGTACATCCTTTCCACTAAGCCATACTCCCAGCTTCTCTATCTCAGAATTTTTAAATAAAAATACTAGGAGGGCTGGGGATTTAGCTCAGTGGTTCTGCCACCTGCCTCGAAAGCACAAGGTCCCGAGTTTGATCCCTGGTACCAAAAAAATAAAAAATTTAAAAAATAAAAGTACTAGGTATTGAATTACCGTCTTTTAACTGCAGGTTTATTGTTTTGTTTTGTTTCTTCTGGGTGCTAGAAATTGAACCCAGAGACTCATGTATGCTAGGCATGTATATAAGTGCTCTGCCACTGAGTCACACCCCCAGGCCTTGCTGTAGTTTTTTAGGACAGATTTATAGCATTTTTTAAGTTTCTTAATTTGTTTTTTGTTGTTATTGTTGTTGTTTCCAATTGAATTTGTAGTTAATGGTTAAGTCCAGTGAGCAGTTCTTTGAGGTTGAAGATTTTTGTCACTTTCAGAACATCCAAAATATTTCTGTTATTATTCATAGTAGTATCAGGTTTGAGTGTTACACTCTTTATATCTGATATCAGCACTGTAATTTTTCTGTATTCACTTATGTCCATGAAATAATAAATATAAGTAACTATCATGCTTTTGAAGCCACAAAATTATTTCTTCAACTGAAATCTTACTTTCTCAATGTGTGAAAAACATGAAATGGAGGTGATTTGATTGAAATTTTGCTCCAAAGTTTTACAATTAAAGGAAATTTGCCTGACGTGGTAGCACATGCCTCTAATTCCAGCACTTGGGAGGCTGAGGCAGGAAGATCACAATGAGATCAAGGCCAGCCTGAACTACATAGTGAGACCCTGTCTCAAAAAACCAAAAATAAAGAAAAAGAAAATTTGCCATCTCAAGGTGTGATATGTATATATACTGATTCTCTGCAATGAGTTTATTATGTATTGCAAACAAGGAAGAGGGGGAAATTTTTGCCATAAAATAGCTAAATATAGTAACAGAAAGTGGCAGTGTAGCCACATGGTATCCAGGGCTGTGATACCGTGAAGCACTGTAAATAGTGTCCATCAGCTAATGGCAGACCCCCAGGATGAGAAGAAGCCATTTGAGGCTAACAGAATGTAGTATGTGAATTTGCAGGACACCCTAAGGCCTTCATGAGCATGAACTGAAAGGAAAAGTGGAAAAGATTAACTCTTCTGCTTAATGGTGTTGCCGTAATGAATGAAAATATTTTTTAGCTTAATTCTTTGTTATAGCTTGTGCAATAAATAAAAATTGGAAGAGAGAAACAGCTGGTGAGCTTTTGTGGTGACCACTGCCCAGATGACATGAGTATGCACCCCTTGAAGCCAGCTGGTGTCCTGCGTCCATGTCATCAGCAGCACGGTGCCAGAGAAGGACTGGTGCAGCCAAGGTTGGGTTGGTCCTTCCAACTTTGCCCTCAACTTCTCTTAATATACATGTGGTGATCTATTTTTATCAATAGAGAGTAGCCAGGCACATTGGCGTATGCCTGAAAGCCCAGTGCTTTGGAGGCTGAGCCAGGAGGATTGCAGTAAGTTTGAGGCCAGCCTGTGCTTCATAGTGAGGTCAAGGCCAGCCTGAACTACATAGCAACCTTCCCCCCCCCCCAAAAAAGAGAATAAACACAGATAAGAGCATTCTATGTTTTTAATCTTTTTTTTTTTGGTACCGGGGATCAAACTTGGGTCCTTGCACAGCAGGCAGCGGAACCACTGAGCTAAATCCCTGGCCCCTATGTTTTTAATCTTTAGATTACTGTTATTTACTATCAACAGGTTTAATATTAGGAGCTAGTGAGCATTCGTATGAGAGGAGTAGGCAGAAAGTGGTGAAATAATAAGCAAATACATGTTTGTTTCCAAGACACTTATCGTCCTCTGAAATGTATTAATAAGACTGACAAGTCCTGTTCATAATGCTATTGTGCTGGGCTGAATCAGCAGTGTCTTTAAGGTGAAAAGGTTAGCGAGTATGTGATTACAGACACGCGTTGAAGGTTCCGTATTTACTCTTATGTTAAATGAGAGACCACTGTGCCCATGTGAGAGCCCCAAAATGACACTGACAGCACCAGATCTACAAGGGTGTGGGGGAGCTGACCTCTAGTGTGTGGGTGATGGGGATGTGATACGGAACGGCCCCCTCTACACAAATGGCTTGGCAGTTTCTCAAAAAATCAACAAGCAAATCATTCTCCTGACATTTATTCCAGAAAAATGAAAATGTATATCCACATGAAAACTTGTCCAGAATGATCTTTGCAACTTTATTTGTAGTAATAGCCCCAATCTGAAAACCAGCCATGTGTTCTTCAGTGGGTAAGTGGTTAAACTGTGGTACATCCATTGTGAAGTTTTGTGAGGAGTTTCACTTAGCATTAACAAACTATTGACACACACAGCTTGTATTAATCTCAAGGAAATTAGCCTGAGGGTTTTTTTTTTTTAAGCCAGTCTCAAGCCAGGCATGATGACTATTAATCTAGTACTTGGGAGGCTGAGACAAGAGGATTGCCAAGAGTTCAAGGCCACCCTGAACTATATAGCTAGAATTTGTCTCAAAAAAAGGCAGTCTCCTAGGCTGTGTATTGTATAATTATATTTGCAGACCATTTTAGAGACCTGGTGAGTGGTCTCGGGGTGCTTGAGCAGGTGGAGGAGGTGGGGTGGATGGTGTCCTGCACAGGTGTGACCCTATAGCCCTGGGGTGCAAGAGCAGGTGTTCGTCTTCCTCATGCTGAGGGCAGTCCCAGTGTCAGTTTTCCGGTTTTCATGTGCTGTAGTTCTGCGCAGTGCCACCTTTGGAGGAAGTTGAATGAAGGGCACAGAGGTCTCTGCACTACTCCTCTAACATCCTGTGAATATCTAATTACTTTTAAAATTGAACAACAAAGGCAGTTGATTTATTTCAGATTTAGATATTTTGCAGGTTTGGTTTTTTGTTGTTGTTGTTGTTTTTTGGTACTGGGAATGGAACTCAGGACCTTGCACTTGTGAGGCAGATGGCAGAACCACTGAACTAAATCCCCATCTTTTGCAAAAGTTTTTACTGGTTACCCCACACACAGTACAAACTGGTAACAGTCTGATAATACCAGCTTCAGATAATACCACCTGCTGTGTCCTCAGGTGTCAGCACAGCCGTGGCAGCTGCACTGTAGGAATAGTGTTATCATCGAGAAAAAGGCAAGCAGGTTGGCAGCTTTTGAGGCGCTTACACAAGAAAAATATTGTTTGAGTACCCATGAATAAATAACAATTTATTTCTAGGGTTCAAGTTAGAGTTTCAGAATTTTTAGCTGGCCAGGCATGGTGGTACATGCATGTGTAATCTCAGCTCCTGGGAGGCTGGGGCAGGAGCATCACCATGAATTCAAGGGCAGCCCAGGATACATAGGGAGACCCTGACTCAATCAATTAACAGACCAACCAAAGAAATAATTCTTTTTAGTTAATTGCCTTGGATTATATACCTGTTTGTTGTTCTTTTTTTTTTTTTTCTTCCAGTACCGGGGACCAAACTCAGGACCTTGCACTTGTGAGGCAGGTGTGGTGCCACTGAGTTAAATCCCCAGCCCTGTGTACCTGTTGTTAAGGAATGCCTTCTAATATAATACACTAATTTTACAATTACATATTACATGCTTCTCCACAGGGTGAATTTGTAAATGAATATGTTGGTGAATTAATTGATGAAGAAGAATGCAGACTTCGAATCAAGCGAGCTCACGAGAACAGTGTAACTAATTTTTATATGTTAACTGTTACCAAGGTAAAATTGCCTTTTTTTTTTTGGTAAGAAAAAGAGACTTTTTTGTTCTTGTTTCATGGTTTTAGGTTGAACTCAATTGCTTTTGATTTATTTTCAGCAAAATGATAATGATTTGCAGTAGCCACCATGTGCCTACTATAAAGTGTTTATTATACAGAGTATGATATGAGACCATTGTGTTCTCTCTGCATGGATGGCCACCCTCGTGCAGGGTTATGTACTTCTTTCCCTACTTTGACTTGCCCCAAACTACTCTGTAGAGACTGTTTCTTTTCCTGCCTTTAATAAAACTTTGATACCATTTAAACAAAAAAAGTACAAGGTGAATCACTATGGAAGCCCTGTACATCACGTGAGACAGCTCTATGAGTGATGTATCAGGACTTTCATCCCGGATCTTAGTCCCGGCTCTTTTCTCAGGCACTACAAGAATGAAGGAGAGAATCAGCACTGCGGTTAAACTTCTGACTTAGCAAAAACGCTAAATCACTTGGTGTGTTAAAACATTTTTTAAATGAGTGCTGTCCTAAGAAAAATGACAGTGAAACCTATAGTTTGCTAGTGTAATTGTAAGACCTGTATGTATTTGCACATTACATTCATTGTCTTGTTTAATTTTTAAAACAGTCCCCTGATATCTAGAGGGCAAGAAACTGTGGTCCAGGCATAAGTGATTTGTTGAGTATCTTGTTAGAGTTTTAAGAAGCTCAACTAGCCAGTTGTGATGGTCCATGCCTGTATTCCCAGCACTCAGGAGGTTGAGGCAGGAGAATCACTGTGAGTTCAAGGCCAGCCTGGACTACATAGTGAGACCCTGTCTCAAAAAAAAAAGAGAGAGAGAAACAAGACCAGTACCTATGTTTTCTGTTCCAGACTGTCTCTAATGTAAGTGTCAGAATAGAATTAGGGCTAGAATGTAGTTCAGTGGTAGACCATGTGCTGATCACACATAAGGCCCTGGGTTTAATCCCCAGAATCACCCCCTAAAAACCCTAACACAATTAAAAGTAAGAGAGCTCATTTGAAAGAAGAATTTTTTTTTTTTGGTACTGGGGATCGAACTCGGGTCCTTGCACTTGCACAGCAGGCAGCGAAACCACTAAGCTAAATCCCCAGCCCTGAAAGAATTTTAATCAATGTGTCATTGTTAGAAAGTTTTACAATTTTCATAAACACATTTCATGAGCATAAAATACCATTTTTCATGATGCTGGAGTCTGGCTCCTTAAATCCTGCCCTTCTGGCCAGCAGCCCCCCAGCCACTCAGCAACACTCAGGAGGCTCGGTCACCAGAGCTCATCCTGATTGCCAGAGTTCAAATCCAGGCTGCCAAACTGGTGAGCTGTTTACTGTATTTTGAACTTTAGTGGAAGTGAAAATGGAGAGGAAAGGTGACTACTGGAAAGTCTGTCCCACACAGTAATAGCCTCTCCATCAAGCTGATCTCCCAGTCTTCACTTAGAGAAGGGTTCTCACTTTTCCTTCTCATATCTTTATGGTTTAAACCTGTTACCCCCATACTTTTGCTTTGCTTTGACCAGGAAAGAAGGGCCGATAGTAAGACACCAGTGTAGTTATCTGAGTTTAATGCTCTCTGAACAGAAAATACTGAAACATACAGCCCACTAATCCAAGTAGCATTTTCTATGGTAGGTTTGTTTCTAGAAGCAAGCTTAAAAAGAAACTATATTCCACTTCAATTACTTGAACTTGAAGTTCAACAAATACAATAAAAAACTTAGTAAACAGCATAGGGAGTCACGTGTTTAGTTTCGTTAATGTCAGACACCAGCTGGTAGCAAGACACTGCTGCCTTGTGGCCTGGACTGAATTGGATGTGTCTGAAACAGCTTTATTTAGTTTAATGTCAAAGGAATTTTTCTTTTGTTCTCTTCCTGAAGGACCGTATAATTGATGCTGGCCCAAAAGGAAATTATTCTCGTTTTATGAACCACAGTTGTAATCCAAATTGTGAAACACAGAAATGGACAGTGAATGGAGATGTTCGAGTTGGACTCTTCGCTCTGTGTGACATCCCTGCAGGTAAGAAAGTGATGTGCTTCCCGAGCCTAGCAGCATCAGGTCAGGGCAAGACTGTATTCTTTGAGGATGGATGCTCAGCTATTTACTCAAGGAAGAAAGATAAAAAGCAATGCCCTGGAAAGAGAACTTAGCAGAATCCTCTCTGTGGAAAGGGCATGATGGGTTCTGCAGTCTCACGGCATTACTGCTCCAAGTTACGTGGGCTGTGTAATGTAACCAGATGTCTTAGCCGTTGTTTTCTTTTTTAAAACATATTAAAAGTAATTAGCTTGTGTTGACATCAACTGGTTTTTTGTTTTTACTTTGAAAGATCATTCTGTCTTAAATTAGACATAAAAAGCCTCAGAAGTTGGAGCTGCTGCTTTGATTTTTCCTTTCCTATTCAGCTCCTCCCACCCCCATAGTCCGTCCCTTTTTAAAATTTTGCTTTGAAATAGGTTGTTACTAGATTGTCCAGGCTGGCCTCAAACTTTCAGTCCTCCTGCCTCAGGCCTGGCAGGTAGCTGGGATTACAGGTGTGCACTGTCACACCTGGCTTCCCATCAGCATTCTTACAGCACAACTTAGTTTCTCTTTGGTTAAGTTTGTAGAAAAATGGATGAGAAGAGAAATTGTGTAGCTGACAGAGATTTAAAATATTTCTAGGACCTGGGCATAGTGGTGCATGCCTATAATCCTAGGTCTCAGGAGGCTGAGGCAGGATGATCACAGTGAGTTTAAGGCCAGACTCAGGAGGCTGAGGCAGGATGATCACAGCGACTTTAAGGCCAGCCTCAGCTACACAGTGAGGCCCTGTCTCAAAAAACAAACAAAACAAGCAAATAAAATGTTTCTAGAACTCTGGATTGGTCAAGCCAGGTAAAAGGATGTTTAGGAGGCCCTCATTTGAACCTTGGGTCTTTGGTATATGTAGTACTCTATTTTAAACCCTCATCTGATCATTATGTGAGGCATTAGTTACTGGGAATAGCATTGTGACAATCCCGTGGTCACAATGCTCACTTAGAAACTCAAATGAAATAGCGTTAGAAAAGGGGCATGCCGGGCATGGTGGCACATACCTATAGTCTCAGCATTCAGAAAGCTGAGGCAGGAGAATTGCTGTGAATTCAAAGCCAGCCTGGACTATATGGTGATACCCTGTTTCAGAAGAAAGGAAAAGGAAAAAGAAAAAGAGAGGCTAAACTAGACCAGGCACAGTGGTGGATGCAAAATCACAGCACGCCAGAGGCCAAGGCAGGAGGTTTGTGAGTTTGAGGCCTGGGCAACTTAGCCAGACCATATGTCAAACAAACCGAAGAAACAAAAAAACTCAAAACAAAAAAGAAAAGGGGCTAAACTAAAAGACTTTTTTCTTGATCATAGATTATAGACTCTTGGTCCCTATTACATTGTTTTTAGCCACTCCTGTAAAAAGAGTGTGACTTCTTTTTAGGATATTTAGGGTTGCATAATTGTTGGTAGTTGGGGTTTTCCTGGTTCCCCTCCTGGTTTTGTTGTTTTCTTCCATCACTGGAACACGGGAGGGGAAAAGTCTTCATGTCAGGATTGTTGCCTTTCAGTGTCAGAGTGTGTCCAAGCATTTCTCTTTTTCGTGACTCGAGTCTGAAGAATTACGTTTCTTACGTTTCAGGCATGGAGTTGACATTTAATTACAACTTAGACTGTCTGGGCAACGGAAGAACAGAGTGTCACTGCGGGGCAGACAACTGCAGTGGCTTTCTTGGAGTTCGGCCAAAGGTCAGTTGTAGGGGCCTTGCTGGGGGGTTGCGCTGTGGCAGCAGTTCATCCATGGGCATCTCAGGGGAGGTCAGCACACAGGGCTCTGCTTTGCTTTCACATCATCGATAGTGTTCAGACACTCCAGATTTCCAGGGAAGCTCAATTTCTGATTAAGTCTGACATTAGCAAAGCTCTCTTAAAACTTACATATCAACTAAAACTACCTTTAAAATGGTGAATGTTGTGATGCATGGGTTTAACTTGATGAAAACAGTCACAGGTTATCTGAGCATTACTGGGTTAAGGTTGCTTGGATTTACCACCACCCTTGCAATTAAAAATCAAAAAAGTATCCTATTTAAAACTCAGTGAAAGCAGAGTCTTATTTTTAGTATATATTGTTGTAGGATAAGACATCTTGATGTTCTTAGGAATTGCATAGCAAACAAATTTAAATTATTGTGAGGGTTTTCTTTTCTGCATAAAACTCCATACACTGTGATTTTGAAACCGTGTCCTTCCTTCCTGCCAGTCGGCATGTGCATCCACAGCTGAAGAGAAGGCAAAAAATGCCAAGTTAAAGCAGAAAAGACGAAAAATCAAAACAGAACCAAAGCAGATGCATGAAGATTATTGTTTTCAGTGTGGAGATGGTGGAGAGCTAGTCATGTGTGACAAAAAAGACTGTCCCAAAGCATACCACCTCCTATGCCTTAACTTGACTCAGCCACCATATGGTAAGCTAGAACTTCAAGGGCCCCTCTGGATGTGTCTTTGCTGTGTGTAACCCAGAGTACATCCTACTCCTCTTAGTAGAGTCCTGAAGTAAGAAGTGTTGAACAGGGCCAGGGATTTAGCTCAGTGGTTCCAGCGCCTGCTGCGCAAGCACAAGGTCCCGAATTCAGTCATCCCTGGTACCAAAAAAAAAAAAAGAAGTGTTGAACTGAACAAACAACAATAGCAAACAAAATTATGTTAGTGAAGCTTGGTGTGGTGGCACATGCCTGTAGTCCCAGCACTCGAGAGGCTAAGGCAGGAGGATCTCTGTGAGTTTGAGGCCAGGCTGGGCTACATAGTAAGGTGAAGGCCAGCCCAAACTGCGTAGTGAGACCCTGTCTCAAAAAAGCCAAAAAAGAAAAGAGAAAATTATGCTAGTGAAGAGTCAGTCTGTTTCTGCAAACTGAGTTACCTTGTGTGGTAGCATGGATTGGTTTCTTAGTGTTATACAGGCAGATAGTTGGCACCTGTGGCATCAGGGATGAGCCAGCAGCTCACATCCGTGTGAAACAACATGCCTTAGGTGTGTGTTTTACTGGAACTTGCAGTCAGAGAAGAGAGTGGGAGCCTGGGGTTTCCCTCAGTGACAGTGGCACTGACGCGCTCCCCTCCTTTCCTGCCCTCTCCCACATTAGGAAAGTGGGAGTGCCCGTGGCACCAGTGCGACGCATGCAGCAGTGCAGCTGTCTCCTTCTGCGAGTTTTGTCCACGTTCATTTTGCAAGGATCATGGAAAGGGGGCTCTGGTGGCCTCTGCACTGGAGGGCCGGCTCTGCTGCTCTGAGCACGACCCCTTGTCACCAGTGTCACCAGAGTACTGGAGCAAGGTCAGATGTAAATGGGAATCCCAGGATCGCAAAGAAGAGGCAAAGGAATAAATGGTTGGTGATCCCTTTTCTATTAATGAGATGAAAACACAAGCAGATAATGTGTTTTAAAAAGAAGAGACTGCTCAGTGCACACAGCCTCTGCCCATCAGAACTGCCTTATTAAAGCAAAAAGGAGAAACCAGTTCACACAGACAGAAGCAATTGGTGGTGTCTGGTTTCTCTGTTTTGTTTTGCTGGCTTGGGAATTTCTTTCGTGGAAGATGAAATTCCCTTGATTTGTTTGTTTGGTTGGTTGGTTGGTTTTTGGTTTTTTTCCTTGCCTTTTATTGTGCTTCAGTGCTTTTGCAGCTGAGAAAAGAAATGTCTTCACTTTTAAAATCAGAACAAAAAGAAAAAGTTTTGTTAATGAGATCTAGGTCTGAGATGTGTTCCTAGGTTGTATAAAGTAGCCATCATTCCTTTATTTATTTTCATTTTTAGGAATTTTGAGAAGTGTAGTTCAGATAGTCTAATCATTGTACGTATGTGTGTGTAAGTAGGAATTGGAGGAAGCCCTGTAGAGAAGCATATGATCACCTTTTTATACCTCTTACTGAACAGTAGGTAGGCTACCTTCTCTTTCCCTTCAAAATGTTTTTTATAATCTTAGAGAAGAGCTCTCCCCAGGTATTATATTGGTATTACTTGTGTGGTCTTAAACCAGGGGGGCTTTGTGATCAGTAACTTTACCTACAAAGGGATATGGTGTGTTTTCTTTTAAGTTTTGTTTTGTTTTGTTTGGGGAGAAGAGAAGGAATGAGTGTGCTCCCTGTCAGTGGACAGTGGGCTTCTGGTGATGAGCACTGTGGGTGTGAGCTCACAACAGAGCGGTCATGCCTGTCCTGATGCTGACAAAGGCAGCTGCAGGGAGGTGGAAGGCACAGACCAACAGTGGGATTGTCTTAAGCACCTTTTTCTGTCCAATTTAGTGTAGATCCTGGTCTTAGAATTATGAATATTTTTTTTCTATCTGTTTTCCTTTCCTAATCAAACATTTTCTTGGTCAGCTGACCATTCAATCATGTTCCCTAGCAAAACTGCACAAGAGAATTGGAATAGATTTTAAATTGAGTTTAGTTGTAAGGTGAACACAGTAGGGCCATCTCCAAGTTATATGTAAACAACTTCTATTTAGTATTATTCAACAATGTAAAACTGTGCTCATGACTAAGAGCAAGAACTGCTTTTATAAGATTCACAAGAGTCACACAAATGTACTTCACAGTGGAAAGCACTTAGAGAGAAACTCCCAAGGAGGTCCAGGTCAGCAGAAACAGTCTTCCACCTGCAGGTACCCCACAAAACTCACTTGCTTCTAATGCTTAGGAATATGTATGTTCCAGCATTCCTCATATGAAAGCGTTCGTAGTGTCAGACACTGTAACACTGTGTTCAGTAGAAGTCTAGGGTTAGCCTAAATGAACTTTAACTTCCTCTGTGAATTCTGACTGCTTACCATTCCTGATACCTGGTAGCATTTATTTTCTCTCAGTACTCAGTACCTTACAAAGGGGAGGGAGGGTTGATGCTCTGTCACACTCCTTCAGTAATGTTATGTGTGTTCCACTGTCTTACGAATTTAGAGCTGTTCTCTGGAAAGAAGGAAAAAGCTGTGTTGTGCCTCTCTTTCTCTTTTTAAATATAGAAATGTGCAATTATACTGAATTTTCTCTTGTAAAAAACAGTAACAACACTACAGTTCCTTATTACTTAAGCTTCTAAACTGCCATTTGCCTAATTACATCAATTAATTCTGAGGTGACTTATTGGTCACCCAGTAATTCTGCTAATTACACATCATCTAAAAAGAGCAAAATGGAAAATGCTACACGTTACCAAATCCAGTTGCTATGAGTAACGTGAAATATGGCTCACAGCAACACTAGACTTTGTTCTTGAGCAATTATATAGTTTGATGTCCTTTTAAAAAATAATTTTAAAAAATCTAGGTTTTCTCATACTTAAATCTTATTTTATATAGATATCTGATAAATGTATGGTTTTTTAAACTTACTAACACAAAGATTTCTTTTAATATTCCAAATGCAACTCTTGCTGAAACAGTGTCCAACATGAAATTGTATCTCCTTTGTTTTGGACTTTAGTGCTATTTAATATCTGATAATTTTTATATGGTAAGCCAGGGTGTATTCTATATACTGCAGATACCTTAGGTTTAAGTATTTTTATGGAGCTTCTCATTGTGTCACATTTGTTTTTATATCTATAACAAGAGCTCTGCAGAGACTTTTTAAATCTTTTTTTTAACAACTAATAGAATTGTTCTGTCATTTCAGAAATCAAGGTACAAAACACAATAGCTAACCATAGCTCTAAAATCTTAATGGTCTAAAAAGTGGTTTTAGTCATCCCAGTGCCAAGGACCTCTGCACAGCTCCATGGTGTTAATGTTGACCTATTTATATATGCTAAAGTTGAAGGGTTAAGAAAACAGAAATCTGTGCTTTGTGTGTGCATAAGTGTACATGCTCTGTGCTTGCTATGACACACTGATGAAATAGTCTAAAAGACACACTTCTTACTCACAGTCTGATGTATTTGTTAACTTCTAAGTCTGTATGTGGTCAGAGATTAAGTGGTTGGTCAAAAATGAAATAACTTAAAGCAGCACAAGATAATGGTGGTTGTGGAGTTTTTCCCTCCTTAACCGAATGTTAATTCTTTGGAGGAGGAAGTGAACATAAGATAAAAATCCTGTGATTGTCATGATCTATCAAAAGATGGTCAGCATAGAGCTTCAGAAATTAGGTCACAAGAGCTAAAGAGGAAGTCATGGGAACCTTCCTGCTGCTGCAGCTGAGAGGGTGGGGTGGGTGACCCTTCACTCCTGGCCTGCTGGAGAGCAAAGGGAGGTGGGCTTCTTTTCATTTTTGCTTTAACAGGTTCCCACACTGTTGTAATTCTCGAAGATGCCCAGGCTGAGCTTTAGAATAGGCTGAGTGTAGGAGTCATGGAAGCTTGGAGATTTCTGTGTTCCAGTCAGGGACAGAGCTGAAAACTGGAAGACAGTGGGGGGTGGGGGGAACTAAGGCTTGTTCTTTTCTGCCACTTCCACACAGTGCTTGGAAACCTGCCTATGAATGGCATGGAAGAGCGATCTAAGGTGTCTACCCTGGTAAAGTGTTTCCGATGAGACAGACTGGTGTGCAGCTTTCCTGGTTCTGATGTAGTCTGTTTTTTGGGTATTTTGTTCAGTGTGTTCCAGTCAGGTCAAACCCAGACCTGCACTTTGGAATGGGATGTGCCATCAAGTTAGTGTAATCTCTGGACTGCTCAGGACCCGTTGTGGGTCTTTTGTTTCATTTTTGAACACAAAGCTCTTTTAACCTTTACCATAAAGTCAGGGTGCTGCCAGCCACATGCCATATCCTAACAATGAGAAAACAGGTTGCCTTGGGGCCCTCACGGCTTGGAAAGCTTGTGTGTGTGCTTTACCTGGACTCCAGGTAGGTGGCAGTTCAGAGTAGCCTCCAGTGACTTTTCCCAAGGCTGATGCATCTAGTCCCCGCCCCCCATCCAAGTTGCTGCAGGCAGGAGTGATCAAAAGAAACAATTTCCTGTTCAGCCTAAGGCCACCTAGACCTCATCTCTGGTTATTTATAAACAAAAAATAGGGCTTGGTTCCATTTTCAAATGGACTAGGGAATAGATGTAACCAGACAGCTTTGCAATGAATTAATGAATATTGAAAAGTTGGAAATTTGTATATACTGAAATCTTACCAACTTATAGGGTAAGGGAGGGGAATGATAATGTTTACCACAGGTACGATGTAGTCACTTTAACATTGAGACCTCTGCCTCATGGAATTCAGGTTTTTTTAAGTACTTGAAACTCTTCAGATTCTCTTTATTTTAGTTTCATTTTTTTAAAAATTTATGAAGTAGAAAGCATTATTTTGTGTATTACTTTGAAAACAAATAGCCTCGTCTCTTATCCTCTTTCACCTGGATTAAAAACAGAGTTCTGGAAGTGGGAGTGCTGGTTCACAGTAGAATCAAAGATTTACTGTGTACCCTGGAAGAAGAGACTCTTGCACGAGATACCAGCAGCATTTTCACAAGTGTTTCCTGTGTGTATTCTTTATTTTGTCAGCCCTATCCCCAGCACGTCTTCTTTCCTTTTAATATATACCTGTGTAGCTGATTTTTTGCACTTATATTACACTCCTAAAATGCTGTGTGTAACCCATATTTTTCAAAACCATTTCTGATTTTGGTTTTTTTGTCCATCGCGGAAGTGACAAACATGGGCATTTGTGGCACATACATGTGAGGGGGAAGGGAGGGGAGAATTGCCTGTCCTCCAGGGGCTCTGAAAGTCATTCACAGGCAAGTAAGAAGGACAAACAGCACAGTGGCCAAGGTCATGGCACAGCCCTTCATTTTCCTATGTGATGCAGATGGCTGAGCACCCTGCACTGTCCCTTCCTCCCCACCGCACACTGCTGCTATGGGCGGGTGGCTCAGGACCACCAGGTTGCCTGCATGGGGCATTTGTAAGGTATTCTTGTCGGTTTAGAAGTGGACTAGATAAAATTTACTCTTTACTTTTACTTTGTCATCATTAATATTCTCTCATTCGCTGTCACATACCCTGTGTTGAGAATCATATTTCACTAATAAAGATGCTAAATGATAATTACAACTAGCCAATAAGATCTTTTATATACAAAAATGTGTGCATATTTGGAATTGATATGAGAAATTCATTTGTACCCATTTAATACTGCACAGCACACATAGATACCTAGAGATTCCATTTCCATTTCCTCAACTTCTTTATGATAATGACCTTTGTAGACTGGTTATTTCTGTACTTTGTTTATCTGTAATAAACTTTGTAGATCCTGTAAAATGTTACTTTGCCTAAATCACTTGAGACTTGAGTCTTTTATAACAAAAGAATCAATATTCACTAACGTCACCCTCCTGAGTTCCTGTGACTTGGCTAGAAGCTCTTGACACTGCGGGATTAGTGTTCATGTTCCCTGGGGGAGTTCTGCTGGGGCGTTACTGTATAATGACTTGATGTTGCCACATAGACTCTAAGCTATATAATATTTTGAGGATGTTGCTGATTGGCCTATGTTTTATTGCAGAGTGTGAAACGTGCAAAGCTTGGTTAACCTGTATATAGATAGCTCGTTGACTAGTTACAGTGTACTTGCCTGTAATATTTAAGCTTCTTACTGATATGTGTGCTGGTAGGAACATACAGTTTTTGTATATTATATTTACTGAAATGTTGCCTTTTTTATTTTACAAATACTTTGTAAATCAAATGTGTTTTTTGCTTCTGTGAGGATTAATTTGGAAAGATTTTTTGACATTCCACTGATTTCAGATTTTGCTTGAGATTGACTTCAATAAATTGTCCTGTATGTCCCAAACGTGTGTTTTCTGGTCTGTGCTCATGGAGGGCCCCTTGAAGAACACTACTTGCTTTTGTGGTCGAAGGGTGATAAAGGGCACCGAGGCGAGACGCTTGGTCTCTCTGCTGGAGACCCAGATGCCCTGCTGGGTGTCCTCGCAGGGACAAAGGGCAGCGCGCTGCGTGCAGTTCCCCTGGCGTCCGCCAGCCTGCGCTGCTGCAGGGACGGCCTGCTGGGGACGGCGGCGTTTCTGCGACCACGTCAGTGCGTCGGGGATGGCGGCGGCTGAGGCGGAGGTGGCTCTCAGGGCTGAAGTGGGCGTTCGGGTGGTGCTGTTCACGGCCTTCCTGTAAGGGCCCGGGGGTGAGCCCCCATCCTGTCCTGTTTGCCCCCGCGGAGGGAATCAGGGCCACCGGGAGGCCAAAGCCGGCTCCTGCTGTGGGGCCCCCAAGAGCCACCTGCGCCTGTTTCTCCCCAGGGTGACAGAGCTGCTCCCTCCCTTCCAGAGACGCATCCAGCCGGAGGAGATGTGGCTGTACCGGAATCCGTACGTGGAAGCCGAGTATTTCCCTACCAAGCCGATGTTTGTGCGTAGATAACATCCCTCTGCCCGCTGCCGCTGCGCTGCGGTACTTCTCGGTACTTTTCCTTGAGCTTTTTGCTGGCAAGCGGAAAAAACAACCCCTAGGGGGCTGTTACGTGCTCCAGATTCTGCTTCCTGGTGTTTAAATATTTAAGATCCAGATTTCGGGCAAGACGCGCGCGCGTCTGGCTTGGGTTGTCTGAATCCTGTTCCTTAGTATGAGGCCTCTGGGCCTTAGCGAGTGGGGGCGGTGTTCAGGACGCCGAGCTAGAGACCTACTTTTACTCACTTAGGAGATGCTGCCTGCCAGGGGAGCTGTGCTGTCGCTTCCTCCCACTTCCTTGACCACTGCAGGTCTGGCTCTGTTGTTTTACCTTTGACATATTCTGGTTCAGGTCATTGCGTTTCTTTCTCCGCTGTCTCTGATCTTCCTGGCCAAATTTCTCAAGAAGGCAGACACAAGAGACAGCAAACAAGCCTGCCTGGGTAAGAGCAAACTTCCTGCTGCCGGGATGACTGGAGAGGTGGCAGACCACACTGAGCTCTGCAGTCCTCGCCTAGCACTATGCCCAGTGCCCCAGTTATTACACCCCCCCCCCCCGGAGATAGCGCTGTAAGGGCTCGCTGAGCATGGTACCCCGCACAGCTGCGCCCGCCCGCGGCCCAGAAGAGCTGTCCTTCCTCAGCATAGTCCTGCACACCTGGCTGAGTTTGTCTCAGTGCGCCTGCTCTGAAGGAGCAGCCGTCCTTCCTGACAGATCCTAACAGTTCCTTTGCTTCCCAGCTGCCAGCCTCGCCCTGGCTCTGAACGGGGTCTTCACCAACACGATAAAACTGATAGTGGGAAGGTAAGTCAGGTCAGCACCCCAGGTTCCACCCACAGGAGATGGGGAACTGCACTCCTGCATATGTTTTTCTCATCTTTGTCTCCTTTATTCACAGTCTAATCTTTTCCTCATTTAGCACTTCCTGCTCTCAACCTCAGTCTTGCAGGACACTTTTCTACCCTAAGAGATTTCCCACTAACAACCCTAAGTGGAGGCCACAGCCTCAGTTGCAGTGTGACTTGCTGTCTGCCCTAAAGAGTAATCACGTGAAGTTATTTCCTTTCTTTTCCTAATTTAAATGTCTGCTCTGGAACTAATGCTTTTTCTCAGTGTAGAGAGTATCCTAATCCAGTTAATTATTTTGCCTGGGACACTATATGACCTACAGTTAAAAAGATTATTGCTATCTGGTACAACTGAAAAATGGTTTCTGGAAGTATAAATGATCTGAGTCTTAACACATGCTTATTTCTAGGCCACGCCCAGACTTCTTCTACCGCTGCTACCCCGATGGGCTGGCCCACTCAGACCTGATGTGCACAGGGGACAAGGATGTGGTGAATGAGGGCCGGAAGAGCTTCCCCAGCGGACATTCCTCCTGTAAGATTTCCTCTGGACTCTACTTCTCTGCTTACTTTGGCATCGGTGCATTTGACCTAGGAAGCTTGTAGAGATGGGGCCATCTGACTACACCTGGTCCTGTACCTAGAAATTAGAACCTCCTCCTCTTCAATAACCACACAATTTCACTAAGCCCTAGCCTTGAGTATTAGTACTAGAGGGCAGAGAGGTCGTTTACCTGTGAGAGTTGCACATTTTATTTTTACTGTATTATTTGCCTAGATCCTGAAATCTTTTATTAGTTTTTAAAAAAAACACCTTTCTTTAGTTCGTGTCAGGTGCTGCACAGCATTTTAGATTCTTACCTCATTCACAGCACACAATAACCCATTGAAGTGGTAGTTATTTATGACTTCCATTGATAGATGAGGAAATTAAAGCATACAGAAATTAACCTGCCCAAAGTCATATAACTTTTTTTCTAAAAACTATTCTAAGATAAAATATTAACACTAGGTGATACAAAATGAAGTCCTTCATTTTCCCTTTCCTTTTCTCTGATAATCAGTGACCTAACCCACAAGTGTACAGAAAAGGCTATGCCTACCACGGATGGCTCCCTGCTTCCTGCTTGGAACCAAGTGATGTGACTTTCTACAGGACCTAACCACACGGGTTTTCCCTTTCTAGTTGCATTTGCAGGTCTGTCCTTCGCGTCCTTCTACCTGGCAGGAAAGTTACACTGCTTCACACCACAAGGCCGTGGGAAATCTTGGCGGCTCTGTGCCTTTCTGTCACCTTTGCTCTTTGCAGCTGTGATTGCACTGTCCCGAACCTGTGACTACAAGCATCACTGGCAGGGTAAGCAGTGTTGGTCCTAGGCAGGCCCCACATTCCCCTCATGGTTTTCTCACTAGCAGATGGCACCGCCTCAGTGCATAGCTGAGGGAAGGAACACACTGTTGAGGATGGGCTGGGCTCAGCACTCCAAGTGCACGCTTCCATCCAGAGGGAAGACAGAAGTTTACTTTTTTAAAGATTCCCAACAAGGCATGTTCTAATTATCCCACCATTTGAAACATCTTAAGTTCAAATTAAACTGCATCTATAAGAAAGTTTGTAAGCCAGCACAGTGGCTTGTGCTTATGGTCCCAGATCCTCAGGAGACTTGGGCAAGAGCGTCACTTAAGCACAGGAATGGAGGGCCAGCCTACACAAGACAGAGACCCTGTCTCAAAAGAAAACAAGACAAAACAAATTCTACAAAATAAAGCTCAGTTTACTCTTAAAAATCATATTGTCATTTGTGTTCAGAAACAAAAATTCAATAACATGTAAAGTCATAATTAAAGCAAAGACTTTCAAGTTGAATGCTATAGAAAAACAAATTACAGAAGTCTTAAAAGGCATAAGTTACAAAAATTGTTACAGTATGGCTAGAGGTCCTCAGGTGCCATATTTTATTTTACTTTTTTATTTTTCTTGGTACCGGCGATTGAACTCAGGCAGGACTTTGTACTTTCGAGGCAGGCAAGGCACCACTAAGCTAAATCCCCAGCCCCAGGTACCATATTTTTTTTTTTTTTTTTGGTACCGGGGATCAAACTTGGGTCCTTATGCTTGCAAAGCAGGTGGCGAAACCACTGAGCTAAATCCCCAGCCCCTCAGGTACCGTATTTTAAAGAATAACCACAAAAGGGTAACTCCTGCAGAGTATCTTTCTCTGGAATTCCTGAAATGGTAACAGCTCAATGAATAATAACATTACATGAACTTGTGTCATTCTTTTGAATTAAAAAATAATTTGGCCCATTGAGAGTGTTTTGATTTGGTATTTAGAGAACAATGGCAACCGTCTGAGACAGAATCAAGAGAGCCTAAAGAAACAATTTATCTGGAATGAAGGGTCTCCAGCCCCTCTAAGCACAGTGCTGGGGTAGAAGGTCACGTTCTCCACAGTGTGGTATCTGAGTTAGGACTCTATGACTAAGAAAAGATCTCCCATCCTCTCTCTGCAGATGTGCTAGTCGGATCTATGATCGGCACGACATTTGCCTATGTCTGCTACCGGCAGTACTACCCTCCTCTGACTGACGCCGAGTGCCATAAACCACTCCAGGACAGGCAGGTGCTGCAGGCTGCACAGAGAAAGCCTGGTGACTCCCACTGTCTGGATATTTAGAAGCTACGTCTACCTCAGTGGAGAGTAAGGCCAATCAGGCTTCCTAAGGAGACCATGCACAAGACGAGGACTGGCCTTTCCACCCTTTCACACAGCCACGTTCTTTTCTGGCCGCACCTGGCATGGCTGTCGGCAGGTCCCCAGCTGCTGAGGGAAGTGCTCCGCTGGACTGGCACTCCGAGATCTAGTGCTTTTCAATTTAACTGAAATGCCACTCTTGGAAGGCTATTTTCACAAAGAACTATTTCATCATGGGAACTTGAGTTAATTACCAAAACTTAATTTGTTTCTCATAATTCAAAGCCTTAAAATCTAGGTCATGACCTTTGTTTCTGTTTATTTCCCCTGGTGACAGTTCCATCAAGCATTAAATAGGAAAACGTCCAGTTTTGGCTAATTTACCACTGTTATGCCTGTCTTACCTGACCTCAACCATCTGGTATTGCTGTCTGTTTTGAACAGTGTGGGCATAAACAATTTGTTGTTTTTCTGTTTTTATTTTTGGAACCAAGGATCAAACTTGGGAGCTTGTGCTTGCAAAGCAGGCAGCGGAACCACTGAGCTAAATCCCCGGCCCATAAAGAATTTGTTGAACTGCTAAGAAAATAGTAAAAAAGAAAATGGTCAATGTGGTTTCAACACTAACAACAGATGACTGTTTCTACCTCATTTGTCCTTGTGCTCAGGACCTCCTTGCCCAAACATTCTGCCACCTGATGAAGGCAGGAAAAAAAATGACAGCTCTCATTATGTGGAGGAAAAATGAGTTTCTGTCTCCTTCATAGGACCTTACAATTTCCTCTTTCTTGTGATTTTGTGGGGAGGGAAGGTACCAGGGATTGAATTCAGGACCTTGCGCTTTTGAGGTAAGCGGCGGCTGAGCTAAATCTCTGGCCCTTGTGATTATATTTTAAATGACCATGTCTTACATGTATCTTCCTATAAAATCATTAATGCATTTTTTCCCCTTCAGTAAGCCTGATAGTCAAATAATATGATGAAATGTGTTTTGTCCTTAGGAAACCATTCAGGGACTGGATAGAAAAACCAGCCTGCCCGTCTACTGTGATGGGACCTCGGTCACCTAGACTGCTGGCTGATGTCTACACATGCCAAAGGACCACCCATGCTTGCCTTAATACTGCCGTGCTTCAGATTCTGAACTACACCTGCCTATGGCAATAAGAACACTAGTAAAGGGGGAAAAACTAATAGTTCTTTGACCAAAATTTTATTTCCTGAACTTATTTTGGTAATATATAGGGGAAGAGAAAATAGTTACTGTATTGGGTCTATGATAGATGAGGCCAGGTAAGAGTAGGCAACTAATTAGTACAATTTTATTTCAATATTTATCAAAGTTTTAAATATAATTATGTAAACAAACATTTCAAAAGTGCAAAATATTAGCTAATTAATGCTATTAATCTTTCCATGAAAACAACCTCTCACTGAGATAAGCAGTATGAGTTCTGTAAGCTGGGAATATATACAAAATGATGTTATATTGGAGTTTAAAAGTAGGCTTGGTCAAGAGATTGCATGTTATACAAATGAAGCAGTCAGATAACTTAGAAGCAAATAGGCTTTCCTCCAGCTTCCTGTGTACAATGGTGCTTACAACAGGTAGATAGGTGAGATACAAAGCACTTGCATTTACCTCTCCTTACTACCAGGTGAGAAATGGTTGTTTTTTGAGACAGGGTTTCACTACTTAGCTCAGCCTGACCTTGAACTTACACTGATCCTCCTGCTTCAGCCTCCCAAGTGCTAAGATTATGGGCATGCGCCACCAGGACTGGCAGAAACATTTCTCAGTACAGTGGCTCACCTAGCTCTCAGGGTCAGGCTGTCCATCTTTGGTTACAGGGACTCATTCTTGGATTTTTTTGGTTCACTCTTAAATGTACTTACGCTGCTAATGTGGAAAGTAAATGTGAAATTAAAGACAGCAACTTAACAAAGGATTACTTTTTTTTTTTTTTTTTTTTGGTACTGGGGATTGAACTTGGGACCTTGGCAGAACCACTGAGCTAAATCCCTAGCCCCAAGGATTACCCTTTAACATGTGAGTGGTACTTAATTTTCAGTAACCCTTAAGAGTTTACATGGTGAAGGACTCCATAGAGCTGATGTTTCTTGTAGCTTCCCTTCAGCATTAGTCCATAGCACACAGTAAGGAAGACCAAGCTCGACTGTACACCCCCTCCCTCCCACCCTGACCTCTATGGCACAGTGATTCACTTCCCTTTTTCCTTCTTTCCATCAAGGATAAAGATCGCTGTTGTCTAAGAGATGACTTCAGTGAATATCAGATGCCACTGCTTTGGATGGCAGATGTCTTGGGGAAAATTAGTCCACAGTTACCCAAGTTCAAGAGAAATTTCACTCTGTGAGCTCCAAACTAAGCTGACAGTGACTCTGTTGTGGTCACTGCCCCTTGGCCCCCTATTGGTGTAGGTGATTCTCACAGTAAGTAATTTCCCAGCCAAACTACATGCTCGAATAACACTGCCTCTGCCAAGAGCATTTTAAATAAGCATTCTGGATTATAGTACCTAAGAAGGCAACGATGTTCACTTGTGCACATGTGTGCATTACTGGAGACTGAACCAGGGCCTCTGCAATGAGCTGCATCTCCAGCCCTTTTTTATTTTTTGAGACAAGGTCTCACTAGGTTGCCCAGGCTGGGCTCCAACTTGTGATCCTCCTGCCTCAGCAGCCCACAGGGGATACAGGCGAGCCCCACCACTTCCAGCCTAAAAAATGGCTTTAAAGAGAAATCACAGTAACACATTCATCCTAGTGGAACATCAGATGACTTAAGTTCTGTTTCACCATAAAGGCACCATTAAAAGATCTTATTTACAACCTAAGCAGCCTGTAATTTCCGATTCCTCACCTCTATAGCTTTACCCTCAACATAACATACACTCTCAGCAGGCCACAGTGGCTCACACCTGGAGCCCTAGCACCCGGGAGGCTGACGATGGAGGGTCACAAGTTCCATCCTAAGCTGGGCAACTCAGTGAGACCCTAAATCAATACAGAATATACAAAGTGTAAAGGCCCTGGGTTCAATCCCAGTACTGAGGAAAAAATGTGAAACCTCACCTAAGCCCCCAGTTTGGAGCATGCTGTAGAAGGATAGGTCTGTGATATACAACATCCTGTTTTATAAAGATGTAATGTAAATGAAACTGTTCAGTTTAGACTCACAGTGGCTCAAACTGTTGTGAAGGAATAAGCAGCATCTGTCTAGCAATAGTCTTGTCGGTTGTAAGAAGTAAATGATACTCTTACTAGGCTGCACTTTAATCTTTCTTTATACTGTATATGCAGAAAAGAAACGCTATCTCAAAAGAAAAAAAATCTCCCAACAACCCTTCCCATATCCATTCAGACTTAGCTTTTGGGTCCAGAGAACCCTAGAAACGAGAATATCCCCAAATGCCTTGTAAATCTCAATAATCTCCTCCCAGACTGGAAATTCTCTAAAGATAAGCAATAATTTCCTAGAAAAGTTTCCACCAACCTTCACCAAGTCAAACCCAGGCTAGATTATATGCTGTCTTGAGTGGTAAACAATGAAGTGTGGCACCTATTTACTGTCATCACAGAGTTAAGGACAGACTACTCCCAGTTATGAAGAGTGGCAAGTGTTCACACAAAGCCAGTGGGAAAAACTAACAGCTGGGCGTGGTGGTACCAGGCTGTCATCCCGGCACTCTGGGAGGCTGAGGCAGGAGGACTGCACATTCAGGCCCAGCCTGGGCTACTCAGTGACTTAACAAGACTCTGCTTCAAAATTAAAAAATAAAAAAAGAGCTAGGAATGTAATTCAGAGTGAAGGCCCTGGGTTTGATCCCCAGTACCGCCCCCCAACAAAAGAAGCACTAAGGTCTTCCCTTGGTTTTCCGCTCATTCCACAAAGGAAGGATTATCTTCCAAGATGGTGAGGAGGTGAGGAAGTAGCAGGTGACATGCAGCACACATGCAGCTAAGGGGAGAAACCGCATGAGAAGCAGGTGGGCTTCCTGGAGCAGGCTCCTCTGTCAGCTCAGGAAGAGTGAGAGAAGAGGTCACCACGCAGGCAGAGCTGGAAGGCAGCCACACAGAGTTCCAGGCTGGCACACAGTCAGTTTCCGATCAGGATTGGCTAACTGAAGTGACAACTGCTGCCATGCTGACTCTCAACCAATCGTAACTTAGGGCTCTGAGTTCAAATCCTAGAAGACAACAGATGTCATTAGACCAAACCTTGCTCTAAGTGTGTGACTGCATTTCCCCTGTCCCTTGGAAAATGAGTAACAGCCTGGATTTTGGTGACAGGCAACAGAAATGTGTATTTGTAGAGTTTGAGGGTCCATTGCTCCTTATAACATGTTGATAAGTAAGCACCATCCTGTGTACATGGCATTAAAAAGCTTACATTAAGCAGCCAAGATGGGTCCTTTTTACTGTAAGGGCTGATCAAGGAAGATGCCCTGGGTTTGATAGATCTCTTTGAGGACCAGCAACACTGTATCTTCAGATTCCCTATAAGAAAAAAACTTACACTGAAGAACAGTAAACAGAACTAACATTTGTGCTAGATATTTTATATATATTATTTTACTTAATCCACATATGCACCTTGCAAATTCAGTTTTTACTATATGGAAAAAAAAACTCCAGTGATGTAACTGGCAGTGATGACTGGCAAGTGACTTGGCAAAGAGCCATAGCATTTTATGTCTGGAAACATGAAAAGCTAAGAGCTGGGGTGCAGCTAGGCAGCAAAGCAGTTGCCTAGCATGCATGAGTTCCTGGCTTCAAGCCCCAGCACCACCAAAAAAAAAAGTAAATGACTAAGAAGTATTCATTTCCAGAGTTCTCTCTTTTTCTCTTTTTTCAGTAGTACTGGAGACTGAAACCAGGGCCTTCACACAGAGCTATATCCCCAACACTTTTTAGTTTTTTAAATTTTGAGACAGTGTCTCACTGAGTTCCTGCTAGGCTAGTCTCTGCCCAGGCCAGGCTTGAACTTGTGATCCACTTGCCTCCCAGGGGTTCTGGGATTACAGGCATGCAGCACCAGACTTTTTTTTTTTTTCAGTGGTGCTGGAGATTGAGCTCAGAGCCTGGGGCATGTTGTGCAAGTGCTCTACCGCTGAGCTACATCCCCGGCCTGCCAGAATTTATTCAGACATTCATAAAATGGAATATAAAAAAAGCGAGCCTCTATATAAAATAGGTAAAAAAAAAATTCTGAAAAAGGCATGGAATAATGCCTATAATACGCTATGACACCCCACACACACCAGAGATTGAACCCACACTGAGCTACACCCACAGCACCCCACCCCCTTTTTTTGAGATAGGGTCTCACTAAATCACTGAGGTGTACAGGCTTAGCTTGGACTTCCCAGAGTACTGGGATTTCAGACAGGCTCCACCATGCCCACTGCTGAAGAAATTTTAAGAAACACATATAGAGAGGGAACCAATTAGTAGGGAACAAAATAAAAATTTTAAAACGCTTTTCTTAAAATGTTTTTGAATTTCAAACTTTTGAATTTCAAACCATATAAAAAATACCATCTGCTCAGAAATGTAAAAAGCCAGACTAGCAGAGATCATTCTTAAAGAGAAGTACTTTAACCCCTTAATCAGACTGCACTGGCTCAACTGCACTTTTGATTTTTCATGGCCTCTATACTACTTATCATACAAAATTGATATTGATTTTATCATATAATTTTCCCTTTATCAGAATTCAAATAGAAAAATTTCTCTCAGAGCCTTAAAGCTTATATTTTATTAAACAGTTATTTTCCTAGCTTTGTAATTTTAATTTTTCAGTGATTAAGTTGTGTTGTAGCATATGGAATTTAATAAGCACAATTTATCCATTCTTTAATCCATCAGGTAATTGTTTAATAATAATAAATTCTGATCTACCTACTATAAATGCTTTCAAATGGGTTTCTTAAAATATATTCAGTAACAGCGAAGTTATAATCCCAGCTATTTCAGAGGCGAGGCCGGAAGATTGCAAGTTTGAGACCAGCCTGGGAAATTTAACAAGATCCTGTCTGAGAATAAAATAAAACTAAAGGCCTGGGTACCTAGCATACACAAAGCCTTGAGTTCAATTCTCAGTACCCTCAAAAAATAAAATAAAATAAAAAGTTCAGTAACAGGAATGTGTATGTTTCAGTTCAGTTATAAGCACCTAAATGGCATCATTAACTCAATGGTCTATGCAAGTATAAAATAAAATGCATTTAAAGCAGCGCATGCTCTGTGTGTGTGTGTGTGTGTGTGTAACACTGGGGATGAATCTCACTCGACCTCTAAGCTACCTCTACAGCCCTTTTTATTTTTTATTTTGTGCATATTGGCCCATCTTCCTTCCTTTCTCTCCATTATCAATTTCCTATGAAGCAAACTAACAGAAGCACACTCACCAGTAGCACAGATGACTTTGTAAAGCAAATAAATATTCATTGAAACTCTCAATGGGCTTCTCCTGCAGCACATAGTCGATGCGCTGGCCCCTATTCAGCATGCCCACGTTGACGGGTGGAAGTTCCCCCTTCCCTGCTGCACAGGTCTCTTCTGTGCTAACATCTGGACATGGGAAAGCAGCATCAGAGCTGAGGGGTCCAAGCACTCCGGAGCTGTCCTGTTGCTTTCCTCCAACCCCAAGTTTACCCTCTCTGTTTAGAGAGAACTTTTCCACCCTCTTCCTCTCAGTCTTGTTAAAAGATTCTCAAGTCACACTAGTTTTGCCCAGTCCCTTCTCTTCTTTTACTTAACATAACTTAATTACCCCTTTGAGAGGTAAGTCATTGCCTAGAGTTTAAAAACTAAATGCAAGCAGGAACAAAGCTCTTAGGAATTGAGTGGTGAGTAGCCTAGCTAGTCCTCAGCTAGGAAGATTAATCTGACCCACAAGTACCTAGATATTCCTCCTGTAAAAGCAAGATACTTCACAGAGGAGGCTCTTAACATCACTCCCACAGTTCAAGCCTCACGCACAGCATCCTTTGACATTTTACCTCACATGTCTTTCCATAATTTATAACTATGAGCATGACAGAAAGGGTTGGCAGAGCTGGAGGCCTAGTTGGGACTCAGAGGACAGGTCCCACACAATAAAAGGTGAAAGGAAAGAGGCCCTGAGGGAATAAAAGCTCTCATGGAGGAGTCTCTCCTACTGGGCCTGATGCGGGACTCAGTGTGCACAGTGTCACTGACCACTAGCCTGCTCCAAACTTGACTCAGGCTCTGCTTCGGCCTCTTCTGCTGTCTCTGCTTGTAAGGCAGGGTATGGAGCTCTGGTGAAAGACTTCCAGGCCATCCGCAGCGAACCTAGCAAGTTGTTTTTCAGGTCCATGCTCATCCTGGTCAAGCCCTCTCTTAGTTCTGCAACACACACAAACACAGAACGTGTGGCTTACAATGTTTGTAGGGTCCAACAGAGGAGAACAGAAGTAATAAGGTCTGTTTAGTTTGTACTGGCCAAAGGTCTGAAATTACCAAGTTTTATAGACTTGCCTAAGTGCATCCGCTTCCTGCCTTTATGATGTGGGATCAGCATTGGCTCAAATTCCACTCCTGGAGCCACCATTGGTTCAATCCTATAGGCCACAGGATCAAACTACATAGGAAAAACAATAGCTCTATTTAGCCCGCTAAAGAAGCAGTCTAAGGGGGTCGGGGATTTAGCTCAGTGGTTTCGCTGCCTGCTGCGCAAGCGCAAGAACCTGAGTTCAATCCCCGGTACCAAAAAAAAAAAAAGAAACAGTCTAAGGAACTATGTGTCCTAGGCAAGAATAATTATAAAATGGGGCTGGGATTTAGCTCAGTGGCACCGTGCTTGCCTTGCAAGCACAAGGTCCTGAGTTCAATCTCTGGTATTGAAAAAAAAAGGGAATAATTATAAATCCATTCAAAAGAAGACATAGGTGTTCTGCCCCATCAGTTTCAGATCAACACTATCCTAACAGTAAGTCCTCTCACTACTAGAGAATGGTATAGAAAAAAGTAAATCTTTACCAATAAGCCCTAATATTCAGGAAAAACCATACCAGTTGGACAATGCTTACAGGATGATAAATATTGAAGAAACCTTTGCACGTTGGAAATTTGTAATTCGGATCAATTCTCTTTAGCCCTCGGACAGTAAGGAACATTCCAATGGGAGACCCAAAAGCAAAGAATATTTCAGGCTTGTAGATGAGCCGGGGGTACTTTACAGAGACCTGGAAGAGGAAACACAAACATCTCTCACTAATAACAAAAGGCACATCTGTTCCATGGCAAGGGTGTTAATATGGTCACCTGCCCGATGCTGACATCCAAATACTTGTCCTTTCTAGTGGCATCTGTGCTGCTGTGGGGCTCAGATTCTCTGGGGAGGTTCATCCCCAGAGCTGCCTGCGTGCTTGGTTGAGTAATACCCTGAAGAATAAAAAAGACTTAAGTGAGCTATTACGTAGTAAAAATAGCCAAAGGATTACAAGTCTCTACTGGTTTGAAAGGATGCTTGGGCCACATATGATGGCACACACCTGTATTCCCAGCACTCCAGAGGCTGAGGCAGGAGTTTGAAGCCAGCCTAGGCTACACAATGAGTATTAGGCTGGCCTAAACTACACAGTGAGACCCTGTCCCAAAAAAAAAAATGCTTGGGAAAGTTTTAAAATGATACGGAATTTTAGAAAGAGCCCCTCATAAAGCAAGATAAAGCTGGTGAAAATAATTACTGCCTTAAATTATGAATTGGCATTCCTTATGTGCCTAAGACGATGAAAGCTGTACATGGCCATTTGGGCAGCAGTGGAAATTTTAGGCACCCAACATGAGAAAAAACAAGGGCAGAGCGGTGCAAAAGAAATGCCCAGTGCCACTCGGGAGCTCTGTGAAGGGGTGTGCTCTGTAACCAGAACAAGTAAGGGTCTCTGGGCACAGAACACAACACAATTCAGCCTTAGAACAGAACTAATCCCAGCACTTGCCTGACAAGTGCAAGGCCCAGAGTTGGATTCCCAATACCGAAAAAAAAAAAAAAGGAAAGAACTAATCTATCTGCTAAAAAGTTGGAAAAGAATTAACTACGAAGATATGGAATTTGGTGACTAGAAAAACTACATGTAGGTGTACTGTTACAACACTGATAACCCTTGAGAACATTATGCCAAATAAAAGCTGTCAGTCACAAAAAATCTTCTATCACAGGATCCCACTGACATGGAAATGTCTGAAATAACCAAATCCACAAGGGCTGAGGGCAGAGATGCAAATGAGCATGAGATTTCTCCTGGAGGTATTGGAAATGTTCTGGAGTCAGACAGTGGTAGTGGTTATGAAACTCTGTGAATACAACGAAAATCACTGAAATGTACACTTTAACAAGGTGACGTGTGCAGTGTATGATGTGAAGGGCTGGGGATGTAGTTCAGTCCTAAGGCCCTGGGTTTGATCCTTAGTACCAAAAAAAGAAAAAAAGAAAAATGAAAAACAATGAGTAAGAATCTTGTGGAACCAGGCATGGTGGCGCATGCCTATAATCCCAACACTTGGGAGGCTGAGGCAGAAGGATCACTGTGAACTGGAGGCCAGCCTAGGCCATATAGTGAGTTCAAGACCAGCCTGAATTAGTGAGACTCTGTCTCAAAAAACCTAAAAAAAAAAGAAAAAAAGAAAGAAAATGTATTTAATGTCTAAAAGAGTCAAAGACCAATTCCCAAAAACAATTTAGGTAGCTGCATGTGGTGACACACACACCTGTAGTGCCAGCTACTTGGGAGGCTGAGGCAGAAAGACTGCTTACACCTAGGAGTTTGAGGCCAGCCTAACCAACATAGCAAGACCCCATCTCAAAAAAACAGACTGCTTAGCTCTCCAGAGTAACATCTCATGAAGTATGCCATGGATGTTAAAAAACTGCTTAGTCCAACAAGCTATGTTAGGTACATACCAGCAAATTTCTTCTGCTCTTGAAATAGTTTATTATCTTCTTTCTTGGTCCTAAAGGAATTCCCATTTCCTGAAGATCTCTGTCTGTGCATAAAGCCTAGGCATAAAAAACCAAAGATCTTTTATTTCTAGGGAAAATAAAATCAACTGAATGTCCTGTTCCCTGAGAAAAGACAGTAACTACTCTCTTGTGGCTCCCCAGTGGTACAACCTGGAGAAGAAAAGGTTGTTTTATTTATGAAACAACCTAAAGAAAAACCTACAGTATGGGCTGGGGATTTAGCTCAGTGGTTCTACCACTTACCTCGAAAGCACAAGGACCCGAGTTCAATCCCCGGTGCCAAAAAAAAAAAAGAAGAATCTAGAGTATCAGCGTCATAGTACTACAGGTAACACTGTGTTACTGTTAAAAATAAAACAAAACTGGGCCAGGGATTTAGCTCAGTGGCACCACACCTGCCTCACAAGCAGCAAGGTCCTGAGTTTGATCCCTCGTACCATAAATAAATAAATAAATAAACAAACAAACAAACCAAAACTGCTGGGTGTGGGGGCACACCTGTAATCCCAGCACTTGGGAGGCTGAGACAGGAGGATCACTGGAGTTCAAGGCCAGCCTGGATTACATACAGACCCTGTCTCAAACAAAACAAAACACACCCTGGAGAAGCTGGGTACTTAATGGCTTGATTACAGAAAAAGCATCCTGATTTCCATGCTCACTTAGATGTCACACTTCTGAGAAGGGTGAGACTGAGCCATACAGTGTGAGGACACAGCAGGTGAAGTCATACACAACTGACCAACAAGAGACCTCAATTTAATGCCGATCGCTTTACTAGAAAAGGGTTCCTTCAGCCTCTCAAGACACGGTTGATGCATCCTTAGACCATTGTGTATTTTTCCTTATTAGTTATCACAAGTCTAATTTCTTTGTGGGATTATTTAACACTACACTACAAATACTAGGGTCTCACTAAATCGCCAAGTTGCCCAGACTAGTCTTGAAATTACGATCTTCTTGCCTCAGCCTCCCAGAGTGCCGAGGTTACAGGCCTGTGACACCACACAGGTTAGCTCATTTGAACTTTAAACTCCCACAAAGCAAGATCACTTTATATAATAAAAAGTACACACACAACACTGATGCCAACAAACATTATTAATGATAAGAATGTACTTTTGTTCCAGCACCTGCCTTGCAAGCGCAAGGTCCCAAGTTCAATCCCCAGTACCAAAAAAAAACAACACACAAACAATGTACTTTTGCAACTAAAAAGCTTCTAAAGGGCAAGCTCTTCGTAAACACGATGAAAATAAAAATAATGAACATGGTTTGGCATAAAGTTTTAAAAGACTATTTTTACCAGAGCTTCCTTATCTACTTTCTCCTTCTCAAAGATATTAAAGAACTCAGAGAGCTGAAGTTTCTTCAAATCTTCCTCCAGGTTTGCCGTGTCTCCGTGATCCATAACAATATTTGGCGAATCCTAAAATGAAATCATAAAGCATGATCTCAAAAATTCATTTAGTTTCCTTTACTAGTACTATTTTGATTTGAAATATCTTATATAAAATTCACACAGTAGAGTATCTTAACTTTAAATAAATTGTAACTTATGCAAAACATAAATGAAAACTGATTTCAAGTTTTTGTAATTTCAGTTAAAAATATGTATACGTGGGGCCGGGGATTTAGCTCAGTGGTTTCGCTGCCTGTCACACAAGGGCAAGGACCCGAGTTCAATCCCCGGTACCAAAAAAAAAACAAAATGTATATGTATATATATTATATATACTTTTTTTTGGTGGGTATTTCTTTTTCTTTTGGGTATCGGGGATCAAATTCAGGACCTTGCATTTTCGAGGCAGGTACAGCGCCACTGAGCTAAATCCCTGGCTTTTTTTTTGTTTTTGTTTTTTTTGTACCAGGAATCGAACTCGGGTCCTTGTGCTTGCACAGCAGGCAGAGAAACCACTGAGCTAAATCCCAGCCCATCTTTTTTTGTTTTTTGAAACAAGGTCTCACTATGTACTTCAGGCTAGCCTTGAACTGACTATATAGCCCAGGCTGGCCTTGAACTCACTATGTAGTTCAGGCTGCCTTGAATTCACTATGTAGTCCAGGCTGGCCTCGAACTCATGGTGATCCTCCTGCCTCAGCCTCCCAAGTGCTGGGACTATAAGGGTGCACCACCACACCAGCTAAGTGTATTTTTAAATCAATGAGTGGGCCGGGGATTTAGCTCAGTGGTTCCGGTGCCTGCCTTGCAAGTGCAAGGTCCTGAGTTCGATCCCTGGTACAAAAAAAAAAAAAGGACTTAAATCAATGAGTGATTGAGGGATTGTCAAAATATTCTCCATCACCATTATGAAGTATTTACTGAGCTCTTGTTAGGGAAACAGAGCCTAAGAAACAAAACAGTCTAAGACAAACCTCCTCTGAAGAACCCATGGGCCCATAGAGTGGACAAGTCTCTTACAGGAAAAGAAAAGCTGAGGCAGCAAATGTCAAGCAGCAATCAATACTATCTGTGATGCATGTTGACAGAACTTTGTTTTACTAAAATAAATGGGTTTTGTTTTGTTTTTTTGGTACCGGGGATCAAACTTGGGTCCTTGCGCTTGCAAGGCAGGTGGCGGAACCACTGAGCTAAATCCCCAGCCCACTAAAATATGTTTAAACATCAAGTCCTCCTTTTACTTGCAAATAGAATTTCAGTAAATAGTATCAATTTATATCTAATTCATTCTTCACTGGGTTATAGGCAAACTCCAATTAGCTCAATGATTCTACAATTCTATTAATAGATCAGTAGTGCAGATTTTCTTGTTTTTTATCTTGAGACAGGGTCTCGCTATGTAGTTCAGGCTGGCCTTGAACTCACTATGCAGCCCAGGCTGGCCTCAAACTCCTGGCGATACTCCTGCCTCAGCCTCCCAAGTGCTGGGATTATAGGCATGTGCCACCACACGCCTGGCAGTAGTTCGTATTTATAAAGGGAAATAAAGATACCTAGTTATTTTTAAATATGACAGTTATCTGTAGATGGTTCTATCAAGAATGACATAATTACTAACCCATTGAACACAGATTTAACATCATTATATTAGACCAAAGTCAGATAAAAACAAAAATGTCTAAAAAATCTAAAAATCTTTACTATGGAACACTACCAGAGCACCTATCTGAACATCTAAATTACCTTTTCACTGTCAATATCCCCCAAAGAATCTTTCTGATTTGTTAGGATATCAAACAATATAAGCGAACCTATAAGTAAAATAGAAGAAAAAAGGGACAGTTTCTAAGTATTAGCACTAAATTGCTCTCTTTTATACAAAAAAGTCATCACCCAATGATACATGTAAGCAAATCTAGGAAGCAGAGTATCTCCCCAGCTCACCACCCTTCCACACCCCACCCCCTTCCCCTTCCATCATGGAAACTGCTAGGCCTCCGAATCTGACATTGCCAAGACACTGGCTTCAAACACAAGCATCCTTACAACGCAACCATCCTCTCTGGTTACAGAGAATTCATCTGTTACCTAAACTATGACCAGCAATGGATACACCCCCTTTGAAATCAGGGTTCCTCTGCAGAAAGAGCGTGTAGATTCGGTTCATCTCTGAAGCTACTGTGTCCACGATAGTCTGGCAGTAGGTGGGGCTGTTGTAGAAGAAGACATCTAGGATGGTGTCATTGGTGAAGTGCCGGAGGCGGTTAATGCTGGGCAGGGTTATCCGCTGCAGATCTCTGCAAAAAGAGAAAATGTACATCGAGAAACCCAAATACATCCCACAACCATCCCTGAGTGATTATCCAGCTTACTTTTCAAGCACAGAGTCAAAATTTTAAGAGACTACTATCAATTTATGAGAAAAACAGAGGATGGAAAAATGTGCTTAATGAAGCTAAAGAGAAGTTATCAGCAAAACTCAAGAGTATCAACAACCCTACAAGAAAACCCACTTTAATACACAAATTATAAGAAAATAATAGAGCCAGAAGGGGCGGCACACCTATAATCCCAGCACTTGAGAGGCTGAGGCAGAAGGGCTGCAAGTTGGATCCAGGCCTAAGCAATTAGTGGCTTAGCAAGACTGCTCAAAATTTAAAAACCAGAAAGGGCTGAGGACATACTCAGTGCAAAGGTAATGGATTCAATCCCCAGGATCACAAAAACAAAATAACAAAAACAGGTTGAGAGTTAATTGAGAGACTGAGAAACTTGCCATCTAACTGTAATGTATGGCCTTTACTTGCACTTCACTTTTAAACGTGTGCACGCACATGTATATAAAATATTTGGGCTGGGGTGTAACTCAGTGGTGGTGTGCTTGCCTGGCACACCCAAAGCTACAGTAGGTTCAATCTCCAGCACCCAAAAAAATCATATTAGACAAATGGAAATCTGAACACTGCGTATTTGATGGTATTAATATTTTTAGTTGTGGTAACTGTGTTATGGCCATATATATAATATTACCTATATAACATTATATATATTTTAATTGTATATTATACATGTATGTGTGTATAACTGCAATAATATATAATTATAATAAAATCATATAAGTATATATATAATTTTTTTTTAGAAATGGTCCTGCTATGTAGTTCAGGTTGGCCTTGAACTTACTACGTAGCCCAGGCTAGCCTCTAACTCACAGTGATCCTCCTGCCTCAGCTTCCCTAGTGCTGGGAGTGCTGGGATTACAGGTGTGTACCATCACGCTCAGCACTTTTTTTTGGTGGTCCTGGAGATTGAGCCCAAGACCATCACACTGAACTACATACCTAGGCTTTTTTGAGACAGGGTCACACTAAGTTACTAAATTGTCCAGGCTGGGCTCAGACTTGCAATCCTCCTGCCTCAGGTGTGTAACACCATGCCTGGCAAATATATATATTTTTTAAATCCTTTAATATATACAGACTGAAACATTTACTGATGAGCTTTTCTTGTTGTTGTTTTTTTCTTTAAGACAGAGTTTTGCTATGTAGTCTAGGCTGGCTTTGAACTCACTATATAGCCCAGGCTACCCTTGAACTTGTGGCAATTCTACTGCCTCAGCCTCCCCAGTGCTGGAATTATAGGCACGCACCACCACATCTGGCACTGATGAATTTTTAACAGGATGTCTAAGATTTGATTCAAAAATAATATGGTGGAGGGCCAGGGATTTAGCTCAGTGGTTCTGCCCCCTACCTCTTGAGCACAAGGTCCTGAGTTCAATCCCCGGTACCAAAAACCAACCAACCAAACAAAAATAATATGGTGGAAAAGAGAAGAGTAAGAAGATACAAACAAGCCCAGGGATTTAGCTCAGTGGTTCCGCCACCTGCCTCGCAAGCGCAAGGTCCCGAGTTCGATTCCCAGTACCAAAAAAAAAACAAAAACAAAAAAACAGAGAACCAACCATACACTGAGACTTGTTGAAGCTCCATAAGCAGTACATGAAGATTTATCATATTTATGAATATAAATATATATGCTATAATAAAATTTATTTTATTTTAAAAAAGACCAAGCAAATTCAGGTCCACACCTATAATCTCAGCACTCCAGGAGGCTGAGGCAGAAGGACTGCAAGTTTGAGCCCAGCCTAAGCAACTTAGTGACTTAGCAAGATTTTGTCTCAAGATAAAAATTTTAAAAGGAATAAGGATGTAGCTCAGTCTGTAGCACCTGAGACTAATCCCCAGTACTAGAAAGAAAAAAAAAAAAAAGAGGCTTTTCCTAGAGTTATCAGCATTGAGGGGCTCTTTGTACAGTGCTGTGGATCACACTCTGGGCCAGGGCCTTGCCTGTGCTGGACAAGTGCTCTACCACTGAGCTAAATCCCCGGCCCAAGGAAGACCATGTTAACATAGTCTAAATCAAATCCTGTCAAAAGTTTTCTCAAGGGCCAGGGATTTAGTTCAGTGGTTCCACCGCCTGCCTTGCAACCACAAGGTCCTGAGTTCAATATCCAGCACCAAAAAAAAAAAGTTCTCAGAGAGTTATGAACCTTTAGTAATCTTTTTTTTTGGTACTGGAGATCGAACTCGGGTCCTTGTGCTTGCGCAGCAGGCGGCGAAACCACTGAGCTAAATCCCCAGCCCCCTTTAGTAATCTTTTAGTGTCAGGTGAAAGATTTAAGAATGTGGACCTTCTAACCAATAAAGCAACACCACAGTGGAATGTCTGGCACATGGAATATACTCAGATCACAGAGTACTAAGAACCCAGACAGAATGAGAAGAGCCATTTCTAAGACCAGCACAGAAACAGGCTGCTATCCCCACTCCACTCCACAGATGTACCACGAACACTTCTTTCTGGAGAGCCCAGAGCTACATATGCTCAGTATACTTCTCTGTCATCACCATAAAATTTATAAACAAAACTACAGGGCTTATACCTTAAAAAGTCCCTGTATCGGGGCCAGGGATTTAGCTCAGTGGTTCCAGTGCCTGCCTTGCAAGTACAAGGTCCTGAGTTCGATCCCCAGTACCAAAAAAAAAAATCCCTGTATCAATTACACTTCAAATTATGAATGGTGATTTAATTTAGGGAGATTTCTTCTCTTTGTTTGAAATCTCGACTAATATTTAAATATGATCACAAAAGGAGCAACAAAATATTCTGTACATCTTGGGGTACAGCTGGGCTTTTTGTTTGTTTTGGGGGGGGAAAGTTTTGTTTTCTTTGCTTTTTTTTTTTTTTTCTTTTTTTGCAGTACCAGGGATCAAACTCCGGACCTTGCACTTGCGAGGCAGTCATGGTGCCACTGAGCTAAATCCCTGGCCCAGGCTGGCCTCAAACTTGTGGCAGTCCTCCTGTCTCAGCCTCCCCAGTGCTTGGGACTACTGGTATGTGCCACCACACCCAGCTATGGTTAGGTTTTGACATCTGAAAATGGAAATGCTTATACACTAGAAGAAAGCAACGTGTACCTTTAGTCTTTTTTTGTTTTTGTTTTGGTACCAGGGATCAAACTCGGGTCCTTGCGCTTGCACAGCAGGCAGCGAAACCACTGAGCTAAATCCCTGGCCCTAATGATGAAGTTTTAAGAGTAAATATAGCAAGATAATAAAGCATACTAAAGAAGATACACACAGCTTTTTACTAGGGACTGAGTAGGATTTAATAATGTATCTAAGAAACTTTAAGTATACAATCAGCTATCACAGAAATGTCCCCAAGTACACTGAAAATCAGAACACATACCCACAGCTAACAACTCGAGAGTGTAAGGTGTTACTCACACATCTACGCCAGTCGAATGCAAAGGGCTGTGCCAGTTGACGGGAAGAAACTCTACCCTTCCCATCTGCTGATTTTCTTGAGCTTTCTTAAAATGTGTCTGTAGCAAGTTCAAGGAAACACTGCGAAAATCATTCACTGGAAAAGAAAATTAACTTATGCATCAACAATGAAGCAATTAACACATAAAATCAGCATGTAACAAATCAGGTAATACACTGCCTAGCCACACTTGCTGAGAACACACAATGACTTGACTCAAAAATAGTGGTATTCAGGAAAAACTAACAGTACATAGGGGAAAAGACATTCTTTTCAGATAAAATCTCCTTTTCTTTTTTTGGTACTGGGGATTGAACTTGGGACCTTGTGCTTTCGAGGCAGATAGTGGGTGGAACCACTGAGCTAAATCCCCGGCCCCAAAACGTCCCTTCCTATATAAAACATTTCATCAAAAGAAAAACCAACTGAAAAACTTTTATGTCAATCAAGCTGTTTCAATTTCTAAAAATTAGATGATTATATGTCAATTAATCTTGCAATCAGATTCCTATTCTACTTCCTGGTTTTTATAATTAATCATTACCGGCCAGGGATTTAGCTCATTGGTTTTGTCGCCTGCTGTGCAAGCGCAAGACCCGAGTTTAATCCCCGGTACCAAAAAAAATATAGCCATTACCCAATACTTCAGATTTTTAAAAAATATACACTGCTGTTCAAAATTCTTATCTCACTATCTTAATCTTCCAGAATATAACTCCAGTTTATGCTCAGAACCACTTATGTTGTTATGCTTGTGTCTAGATGTCCCCCTAAAGCCTCATGAACTGGGGCTTATTTCAAAGGTAGGTGATCTGGAGTGTGTGACGCTGGGATTAAGGGTGGGTGACTACTAAATCAGTCCACTGATTGGTTTGGCACAGGCCCTAACTAAGCCAGGTAGCCTAGGTAGACTATAAAAGAGGCAGAAAGAAGCTTCTATTGACAGTTGCTTGCCTTTGCTGTCTTCTGCCTGCCATGAACTGTTTTTCCTCTGTGATGCCCCTCTGCCATGCCACCCCACCTTGGAGCCAGCTGACTATGAACTGAAACTTCTACAACTGTGCACTAAATAAATCTCTCCTCCTTTAACTTTGGGTGTCAGGTATTTTATTTCAGCAACGAGAAAAGTAAGACACCCAGTAAAATAAGACTCCTACTTGGAATAGATATTGCACACTATTGAGGTTTTGTTTGTTTTGTTGTTTAACTTTTTTCAGTTGCACAGGGACTCACAGCTAAGAGTTTGCCTTAATTCTCAGAGATTTGGGACTCTGACTTTTCAGCAATGCTGAAACTGGACTTCTGCAACTCTTAGAGATGAACTAAATGCCTTTTGCATAAAGAGATGTGCATGAGTCTTTGGGGGACCAGGGGTGGAATGTTATGGTTTGGTTCTAGATGTCCTCTAAAAGCCTCATACCGTCATAGGTGGCTTTTTCAGAGGTGGCTGGGTCCAGAGTGTGTGACACTGGAATTGATTCAAGGTGCAATGCTAGGCTCAAGGGCACTAGGATTAACCATGTGAGTGCTACCCACCCTAAGTAGGTTGGATAAAATAGAAGGGTCAGAAAGATACTGTTAAGCTTCCCTTGTTGCTTTTGCTGCCTTCCACCCCCACAAACTGTTGCCCCTCTGCCATATGCCACCCTGCCTTGGAGCTAGTCAATTATGGACTCCACACTATCAAATTTTAAAGATGTTGCCTTTTAAAGTCAAGTTTTACTAACAACTTAAATCTTCCAATTATTCTATCAAGAGGCTTCTGGGGATTGTAATCCCATCTACTCAGGAGGCTGAGGCAAAATGGTTAGTTCGAGGCCAGTCTGGGCAAATCAGGGAGATCCCATCTCAAAATAAAAAGGGCTCAGGATGTAACTCAGTGCTAGAGTACTTGCCTAGCATGCACAAGAACCTGAGTCAAACTCAAATACCTCGGGCTGGGGATTTAGCTAAGTGGCTTTGCCGCCTGCTGCACAAGTGCAAGGACCCGAGTTTGATTCCCAGTACAAAAAAAAAATTAAAAATAAAAAACTCAAATACCTCAATAATAATACCAAGAGGCTTGGGGCCGGGAATTTAGCTCAGTGGAACCGTGCCTGCCTCACAATTGCAAGGTTCTGAGTTTGATCCCTGGTACCAAAAAATAAAAAAAGAGGCTTATCACAATAAGATGTACAAAAAATGGTTGTATTTTCTGTTATTCACTCTATCATCTTCAGGGTCCCTTTTACATTTCTGAAGGTTAGAAATAAGACCACTATACTATGAAACAATTTTATAGGGATTACGGGGCTCATTCACTCAAGAATTACTGGTTAATGGGCCAAGGATTTAGCTCAGTGGTTCCGCCGCCTGCCTCGCAAGTGCAAGGTCCCGAGTTCGATCCCTGGTCCAAAAAAAAAAAAGAATTACTGGTTAAGAATATAAAGTATTATCCTCAAGAATTTACTACCACTTTAGATTAAGCTAGGAAGCTTCACTGCTCATCACATGTCTTCAGCTCTCCAAATCTGATTATGCAGCTAAGCCGATGAGCTAAAGATGATGCTTTGTCTTGACTCCCAATGCAGTGACTAACACACTCCCTGAACACTAACCTATATGCTCTGCAAACCTACCACACTGCACAATGCTTCGGAAGCGGAGATCACAGGCTGGTCCAATCCCATGTACTATAAAGACCAAGTGATCTATCTGTAAAGGTTCTCCTATAAATAAAATGAGAAAAAAGAATTATTCCATGTAATTAATTCTAAACTCAATCTTTACAGTGAATAGGTTATAAATGTGAGCAAGTTAAACTACAAATGGATTACTTAAAAGACACAATATGGTCCTATATTTAATTATGCAGTAAAAGTACATTTTGCCTCATTTTTAATTTATCTGGAAATAAGTCTATACAAAATTTTCACTTTTTATTCTGAAATAACTGCAAAGTTACAGAAAACTAGAAAAAATAGTACAGAAACTCCCAAGTACATTTTAGAAATTCAACTTCTTAAACCACATTTCATTATTATTTATGTGTGTGGACATACACATGTTTATCTTGGGGGGCTATTTGGGAGCAGGTTGCATGTATGATCATGTTTCATACACCTCAAACTTCAAACTGCTTAATATGTATATTTCCTAAGGACAGCCTCTTTTTTTTCTTTTTTGGGGTACTGGGGATAGAACTCAGGACCTTGCACTAACTCAGGACCTTGCACTTTCTAGGCAGGTGCCGGAACCAGAGCTAAATCCTCGGCCCCAGGACAGCCTCTTAATAATCACAGTACAGTTAGCAAGTCTAGGCTATATCTGATGGAATATTATTAACTATGATTCCTTTTTTTTTTTTCTTTTGGTACTGGGGATCATACTCTGGACCTTGCGCTTTACGAGACAGGCGCTGGAACCACTGAGCTAAATCCCCAGCCCTATGATTCCATTTTTAATCAATTGTCTCTAAAATGTTTGGAATGATTTTAAAGCTTAAAATTTTAAATTCATCTTTTTAAATTACAGTAAATCTAAGAGTTTATCCAAGAGACAAATCATCTCTCTTGTAAGATAAAAGGAATTCTAAAATCCAGTTAAAAATATTTAAAGCCAATCACAAGTGACCCCCGTTAGATGGCAATGAATAATCAAGTTCCTTCTGAAAAATAGTCTGAGTTGAAAATCTTCAAAAATAGTTGGTATTACCCATAATAAATATCTAGTCAAGCAGGTAGATTCAACTTCTTAGAATGAGGACTAAATCAGCTCACCTCTACTTAGCAACTACCAGATTAGTATTACCAAATTTCACACATCCCACCATATGCCCACCCTATATACTTAGCAGCTTTAAATATTTACATGTGTTAAAATTCTTAAAGTGATGCTAATCTGAATTCAGAATAAGCCCAATTAAAGATAATTTGTAAGCCTTGAGGTAACTGAAATACACAAAAAAGGGTCACAATTTAAGGAATAAACAAGTTAATAGAAAAGATAAGAAAAAATGAATGATTAACATTACCACAATGGATGTCAACAGAGATATTCTCAACCCCCCTTTTCACTGTTCTTGGCCGACCTTGCTCAGTGGGCGTTGAACCCCATTCATCAGACCCTGCAATTGGCTGGTAATGCACCATGAGCTTAAAAAGAAAAAGATCAGAGCAATATACTCGATGTTACAGTCATCTCTATATTATGTATATGTATTATTTATTTATTTATTTTTGGTACCAAGGATCAAACTCGGTACCTTGCCCTTTCGAGGCAGGTGGCAGCACCACTGAGCTAAATCCCCAGCTCAATTTTTTTTTTTTTGACAGGGTTTCACTATGTAGCTTAGGCTGGCCTTGAATTTGTGGCAATCTTCCTGCCTCAGCCCTTTGCGTGCTAGGATTACAGATGTGTGCCCCCATGCCCAGCTTCTATATAATACATTTTGAAGGATAAAAAGATATCTTTCAGTACATAGTTTTGATATGCAATTCTTAAAGCTTGAAATGAAGACCCTGAAAATACACTGGACTAACAAGTCTTTCAAAAATGTCCTACACATGAAAGATGTGCTCATATAATGTACTGGTGATTTCTTAATCCTACAATGGCATAATTTTTCCTAAGAAAACTCTTTTGTATGGCTGAGTGGAGTAAATAATGGCAGTACTGTAAATTTTAAGTTTTATAGTGGTGAATTGAACATAAAATTGCCTAAATTTATCTTACATAAAGTCCATAGGGAAAAGAAGCCAAAGTTCTCCTTAGTAATGCAATAACCTTAACCCCAATATCAGAGAAATGTGTTACTTCACTTTACCTTTGGATTGTGTAATATAATAATTTCTCTACTGGGAGACTCCAGTTTCTTTTTCCATTCATCCAGAGTTACAGCAAGCATGTAAGTTTCCTTAAAAGAAAATACATTTCATTAGATTTTTCTAATAGCTTTTCCACTAAACTGAACCTATAACAAGAATACCACTAGATTAATGAGTTTCAATAACAATATAATTCTCATTTATCAAATTTATTTTCAAATTCTTTTAAAATTATAACAGATATGGCCCCTGCCTCGTAAGCGCAAGGACCCAAGTTCAATCCCTGGTACCAAAAAATAAAAAATAAAAAAAATAAAATTATGACAGATAACAGCACAGAACAAAGAAAAATATCACTCCTAATTCTAATAACTGCTATTCATCTTTTCATATGTCAGTAATGTTAATGTTCTCCATGTTAAAGAAAATAAATATCAAAAAGGTCAGTCCTGTGGTTTAAGTGCTAACACCGTGGTTTGCAGACAGAAGCATTTGGCAAAAGTTTTATTTCATCTGCAAACTCTATCAGATGATACACACAACCATGGCCACCTTTCCTGCACAAACACAAATGTGGCCATCTTTTCCAAAATCATGGAACAAATTAAGTTTGTGAACCAAGGTACCACTGTAATGGTTTTCACCAGGGAAAATTTTTAATTAAAAAGCGTAAGACAAAAAAATTAAAAATTAAAAATTAAAAAAAAAGCATAAGACAGTTTCTATAATATTTTATTTAATCTTTTTGTTTGGTTGGTTTTTTTGAGATAGGGCCTCACTATGTAATTCAGGCTTGCCTCAAGCTCATGGTGATCCTCATGCCTCAGCCTCTCAAGGGCTAGGATTACAGGCATGTGCCACTACGCCCAGTTTCCATAATATTTTAAAATGTGAAAATGAAATTACTTTATCCTGAAACCAACTTGCAAAAAGAAATACTATAAAGTATGATGTACATGGAATCAAACCTTTTCTGCAAATTTCACAAAGTAAGTCACAAAAGGAAGAAAAGATTGTTAAATGAGAAAAGAAAAAAGATAAAAATGATGAGTAAAAGGGGATCAAAGCAATACCTCTAAAACTCGGCTGAAGCTCTCTGAGTAGGGAACATATTTATTGTCTTTGTCTCCTTTGTAGAACCAGGTACAGCGTCTCACTTCAGATGCTAGTTCATCCCAGTACACAGCATACCGCATCCTTTCCCCCAGGTGAACGTCATACCTGCCCCCATCCGTGGGGACCACTCTCCCTCTGCAATCCTTTCCTATCAAGAATTAGGAGGAAAAGTACAGATCATACAATAAATCTCCCAAAATACGATTCTGAGCTACATTTTAAAAACTGCTTAACAAGAAAAATCCAAAATGTATCTCTAACAGCACTACTGGGGCTATTACAAAACAGAGCAGGGTTATGCGTGCCTATAATTCCAGCATGAAACAGGAGGATCACAAGTTTAAATCTAGACTAGGCAACTTAAAATACCCTATGGGGGGGGGGGGCTGGAAATGTAGCTCAGCACCAAGGCTCTGAGTTCAATTCCTAGTACCACAAAAATCAGGGGTGGGGGTGTGTGTACACTGTAGCTTGAGAGAGCTCAAAGTCTTTTTTTAAAGCTGAAAGTCTTTGTTACAATTCATTTTCATCCTACCAGAGCCATATGCCTCTTCCAGTTGCTGTGAATCCTCAGAGTTGAATGGAATCCAGGTCTCTTTAGAATCTATTATCTTACAATAAAACCAATGTGGAGAAACGGGTTCATATAAACTGCCAGCATCCATATCTATTAGCTCGAAGGAACTACATGAGTTTGGTGAGGGGGATGGATCCGACTGAGACAACTGCTCCTGGTGTGCTTCCACTGATGACATTTCTCTCTCTAAAAGACAAGATACAACTATCAGGAAAACGATTTTCCTTCTATTAGCAGTGTACCTGTTCACATGTGCATGCACACAAAACTCGATCATTTGAAGAGAACATTTCTGCAACAACAACAAAAAATCCAAGGGGGCTACATAATTTAAAATAAAAACAGGGCCGGGGATTTAGCTCAGTGGCACCACGCCTTCCTGGCAAGCACAAGGTCCTGAGTTTGATCCCTGGTACCAAAAATAAATAAATAGATAGATATTTTAAAATAAAAACGAATTACCTTAGGAAGGGTGTCTTTAAAAAACACTTCTTAGGTCAACCACTTTGCACTAAGCTCACAATTCTCTTGGAAAACTGGATGGTTTACTCACACAAGTTTTAACTCAAAATTACAAGAAGCACGTCCTCAAAACTGATTGCAAGTCAGATGTGCTGATGAATGCTGGTAATCTAGTCATTCTGGAAGGCTGAGACAGGAGTACTGCAAACTAGAGCCAGGCCTGGGCAATTTAACGTCTTAGGGGTGACCCTGTTTCAAAATTTTTAAAATAATATTATTTTAAAGGGCTGGAGATATAGCAGTGCAAAGGTACTAGGTTCAGGCCATGGTACCTCAAAACAATTACAACAAAAAACGGATTGCAACAAAATATTTCATTCCCATTTCAAATTTGAACCTAGTGCCAAAGGCAGAAAACTGACCCCAACCATGTCAGTATGCCGACCTAACGACATCCAGGTTTTACGGTCTAAACAGTCCTTTATCATCATTTACTTGGCCACTGGAATCTTAAAATACAGAAAATCACTAATGCATTACGAACCAATCACTCTGACTGACCACTGAAGCCGGCTTAGAGGCTGTGAGGCGCACGCTAGACCACTGCCCAGGACACCGCGGCTCGGCCCCCGCCTGGCCACCTCTCAGGTGGGCTGACGCGACCGATCACGCGCGACCTCCGCACCTCCTGTGGCGCCTCGGCAGAGAGGGGCGAGCGTCGCGGCCGCGGATGGCGCCGCTCTCCGCGCTCCTTCACGGGACCCAGCCCGTCCCTCTCACCTCCCAGGCCTCCCCGCCAGCGGGAGCGGACACTGCCCGGGGAGCCACCACCTTTCCGCACCCTGGGAGCCGTCGCCGTGGGCCCGACCCGCTCCTCCCTCGGCCGCGCCCTCCCCGCTGGCGAGCGGAGGCGGACACGGACTCACCCAGCAGCCCTGCTGCTTGCGCGCTCCCGCGCCGGGCCGACAGCACAAGGCACGTCCCCGTCCCCGGCGGGGCGGACCCAGCTCTCCGCGCCCAGCGGGCAGGGCTGCGGGTCAGACCAGCGAGGGGACCGCGAGCGCAGCGCACCGTCGCTGTGGAGCGATAAGGGCCGCAGGACCCCCGCGGAAGTGTCGCGAGAGGTGGCGGGGATCGCGCGAGACGCCGCTGCTGTGGAGCGTGGCTCGGAGCTCTGAGGCTCAACGCTGCCCTGGAGGTTGCACCGTGGGGAGGGAGGGACGGGGTGACAACTGTCAAGCGGCACTGCGAGCTGCAGCAAAAGAAAGGTTCTCCGGGACCGGCAGCGCCGCTGCCACTCGCCCAGGGGAAAGCAGGCCTCTGACCCTGGGCGCAGGGGCAGCTCGGGGACCTCGACCTGCGCTTCGCGGGACGCCGCCCGGCGCCCTGGCTCCTCTGCCTCGCGTTTATTAGGACTGAGGCCGCCAAAAAGATAGTCCTGAAGATGTACAGGTGCTCGGGACAGGAGTCAAAAACTACAAGGGAGGCCGGAATTTTTTGTTTTTTTCTTTTTTCTTTTCCAAATGAGAGGACATAGCTGCCGGGAAGTCTGGATAAATTTCCCAATCATGATGCTGAGTCACGGGCTGCCCAGCTCCCCTAAATAGTTCATTTTCTGGAAGACCTCAGTTCCCTTGGTTATTAAATAAGTTAGTTTATTCTTTTCTAGCTAGGTTGTAAGGCAGGGGTTCAGGGAATGTTTTTTATTTCTTCAGAAACCGAGAAAAAAACAGTAAATTTTTATGACACAGTCTGTTTACAGACAGCGACATACAAACAAGTTTACTTATACATTCCTCTCAAGTTTCTAACTCCTACATAGCCTGTTTTGTTTTTTGGTACCGGGGATCGAACTTACGTCCTTGTGCTTGTGCAGCAGGCGACGAAACCACTGAGCTAAATCCCAGGCCCATAAAGAACCTGTTTTTTATGGATAGGACAAAGGGCAGCCAGGGCTGTGTCCAGTTCTCTAGGCTCTTGCTGATAGCATTACAGACCAATATTAGTTGCTAACATTTACTGAGTTATTTGTCCTGCAGACTGTTTTGAGTGTTTTATAAACATAATCCCATTAAATCCCCTCAGCAACTTGATAATATGCAATAGTTATCTCTTAGACACCCAGAGTCAGCAACATCAACAAATGGTGAAGCCAAAATTATGAACCCGGGCAATCTGACTTCAGAGTCTAGACCTAATCTAACATGCCCAAAACGGTCAGTTAAGTCACAGAACTAGAATTTGAATTTAGGTTCTGTATCTCCAAATCCTGTTGTATGCCAGATATTTTGGGGGTGGGGATGGGGGTCAAGGACCTTTTTACTTATTGAGTCCTAAATACAGTACTGTATGTAGTTGAGTATTTTAATAGTCTTCCTAGATAACTGGATATTCTTTTTTTAAATTTTAAAAATTTTATCCCATTCCCCCCTCAAGCCCCCTCCCCTCCCCATGTACAAAAGCTTTGTATCCATTTTTTCCCTTGTATTTTCACGTCCCTTCTTTCATTTTCCCTCCTTCTGGATTTTGTTGGGGTTTTTTTGTACCGTGGATCAAACTTAGGACCTTGTCCTTGCCAGACAGGCGCGGAGTGCCACTGAGCTACATCCCTGGCCCAAGTCGTTTCTTACAAGTGATTTGTAGAGCATGGTGATGTGTGCCTGTCATCCCAGCTACCTGGGAGGCTGAGGCAGGAGGAACATGAGGTCAAGGCCTGCCTAGCCAAGGTAATCAGGCCCCATCTCAAAAAACAAAGTGAGTTGTACTGTGGTATCTGAAAACATATCAAGGAACTTTTCATATTGTAATGCCATTAAAATATATTGGTCTAGGGCCGGGGATTTAGCTTAGTGGTTTCAATGCCTGCTGCGCAAGCTCAAGGACCCGAGTTCGATCCCTGGTACCAAAAAAAAAAAAATCTATTGGTCTAGCTTGTACTTTGAATAGATCTTTCACAGTGCATGACTCATGACATGTATTTAGGGATTTGGAAACACCAGCTCATACAGCTATACAGATCTTCCAAATGTTAATATATTTCCATGCACAATTTTTTATATCACCACATCAGAAAAGTTTTTTTGTTGTTGCTGTTTGCTTTTTTTGAGGCAGGGTCTCAGTAAATCCAGGCTGGCTTTGAACTAGCGGCAGTCCTCCTGCCTCAGCCTCCAGGGTGCTAGGATTACAGACATAAGCCTGGCTCCAGAAGTCTTTGAAGTGTTAACGATGCTATTAAGCGCATAGTAGCAGGTACAAGTTTCCCAAAATTCTTTTTTCTCAAAGAAGCAAATTGTATCATTAGCAATAAATATTGTCAGTTGTTTTCTTTCACATGAAAAGCTCACTTTGTTTTCAAGAAAATACCAAAATCTAAGGAGCCATAATTTATCAGCTGCACTTTTAATTTAAAAATGAAGTAGAAGGTGGGCATGGTGGCATATGCCTATAATCCCAGCACTTGGGAAACTGAGGTAGCAGATTGCCGAGAGTTCGAGGCCAGCCTGAGCTACATAGTATAAGACCAGCCTGAACTACAAAAAACAATAAACAAAAAAACCCTAAAAATAATGTTCTATGAAAAAAGAGCAGCTAGTTCAGATTCCCATTGAAAATCACTCAAGTGGGACAGTAATGTGCTGCTTTACATGCAATAGAATTGTTTTGTTTTATGCACACTAACCCTTTTCTCACATAGCAAATGAAAAGCTGTGAACGCAAAGGTTAAGAGTTAACAACCCTGATAATTTGTACTGCTTTGTGAAGGTATTTGCAGGTGAGACTCCATTCTGTTCTTACTATGAATGCACGTCAGTGGAGAACCTGACTGACAGCAGTTTTGTTTCTGCCCCAAGCTGCAGCAGTTTGGCTGCCTTGGTTTGAACATCCCTCTGTAACCGGGTCGAGAAGTGGAGCATCTCACGGGTGAGGGCTGTGACTGCACTCGGGCCAGCCCTGTCCTCAGGCACACACAGCCCTCACACCACGGGGTGAAGCATCAGGGAGGCCCTCACCACACTCCAGCCCTACTGTTGGACTCCCTGCCTCCGGAGCTGTGAGCCAAATATGCTTTGATTGTTCGGAACTTCCCCAATCTGTGGCATTAGGGTAACAGCAAAGATACCATTGTTTTTTACATGAACAGTGTAAATGTCAATAGCAAAACAAAAGGCAAATCATATCTTAGTATTATGAAAATAGTTTTGACTTGGTTACCCCTGTAGGAATCTCTGAGACCTCTAGCATTTGTTAACCACACTTGGAAAACTACAGAAATTAAATGTGCCACCCAGAGCTTGGTGAAGGACCCTAGTTAGCAAGACAGACTCCATATTGCTGCTTGACCCACCTGCTTGCCCTTTAGATGAACTCAGAAGGAGGAAGCTTAGAAACCTCCTCCCCTTAGAGAGTCTCTTAGAAGCAACAATCAACCATTGTTTTACAAATGTTCTAAGGACAGGGCTTTCCGCTTCTGTACCTTTTGCTTGCTTTGCTAGTTCTATCCCATAGCGGGGCCTAGAAACTGCTGGCCTCAAAGGTGTATAAAATATGTTTGTCAACCCCCAGTCGAGGCTCCAGTCCGATGTTCCGCTCAGTCCTGGCCGGTAATAAACTCCTGTGTGGATTTAATATCGGTCTCTGGTTGGTTCTCTCTCACTGGGTGTAACACTTGGAATACAAAAAGTAAGGAAGGGTCTGGGAGTTAGCTCAGTGGTTTCGCTGCCTGCTGCGCATGCACAAGTACACGAGTTCCATCCCTGGTACAAAAAAAAAAGTAAGGAATAATGACACCACCCCAAAGGAGTTGAATCTGAATGGGAGAGTAAGGCAGGGAATAAGCAATTGTATCTTGGTGAGTGCTATAAACAGGCAGGTGCTAAACTAGTAGATGCAAAAGAAGTAATCAAATATCCAGCCATACCTCCCAGAATTCTCTTTCCATAGGTCTTGGGTAGGATCCAAGAATCAGGATTTTTGTTTGTTTTGTTTTAAGAATTCAGTTTAAATAAGGACTTGGATGCAAGTAATGTGGTATCTACACTTTGAGAAACACTGCCTTAAGGAATAAAAATTTTAGTTCCCAAAAAAACTGACAGGTAATTGCAGGTAAATAAGAATATTTATGTCACCTCCCAAAAATGCAAACAATTTTACTGGCCATTATTTGCAGTTGTATATCAATCTTTTCCATAAAAGACTTAAAATTTTTTTTGTTTTTTAAGATTTAAAATGTGAAGGGCCAGGGATTTAGCTCAGTGCTGCCGCCGCCTGCCTCAAAAGCACAAGGTCCTGAGTTCGATCCCCGGTACCAAAAAAAAAGCAACATGTGAAACAGTCTCTGCTCTTCTCCTTTCACTACTGTAGTGCAGGAGGCAGTGAGCTTCTTCTATAAAAGCCAGACACATATTTTAGACTCAGTGGGTCAAGAGGTCCTCGCCACACCTGATCAGCTGTCCTGTCACAGCACTACAGCAGCCAGGAACAGTAAGTAAATCGAGGAGGGAAACACTGTCCCAATAAAATTTTATTTACACAAGCGAGAGCTTAAATTTGCTCTCGAGTGGTAAGTTTGTTGGCCACATCCTAGACCAAAAGTAATGCTTGTGGACAGTTAAGTGGCCTGAAATCAAAGCATGAGTATAGGGATTTTATACCCAAAGATAGATTGCTAGGCATTAATTTTAATATTTTCATTTCTTTCTATAATAAGCTATACTTCACCTAATTCAATAAGTATGCGTTCAGCAGGTCATGGTGGCACACACCTATAATTCTAGCACTTAGGAGACTGAGGCAGGAGGATCACCATGAGCTCAAGGCCAGCCTAAGGGTTACATAGCAAGTTCAAGGCCAGCCTGAACTGCATAGCCAAACCCTGTCACAAACAAATAAAAAGTGTAGATATTTCAATCAATACCCAAAGATTCTGATTAACTAGAATATATAATCAGAGGGATCCATGAATCTAAATTTTACTCAACAATATATAGTCAGCCGGGCTTGGTGGCACATGACTGTGGTCCCAGCCCTCCAGGAGGCTGAAGCAGGAGGACTGCAAACTCAAGCCCAGCTCTGTGGGAGGCTGAGAATCACAGCCATCTGCCACCACACTGGCTAAAATGTAAATCTTTTAG